GAACAGTTGTATTGTCATTTTCATTGGTTTCCATGAATTTTTTTAATTCTTCTTTAATTTCCTGGTTGACCCATTCATTCTTTTGTAGGATGCTCTTTAGCCTCCATGTATTTGAGCTCTTTCCGACTTTCCTCTTGTGACTGAGCTCTAGTTTCAAAGCATTGTGGTCCGAAAATATGCAGGGAATGATCCCAGGCTTTTGGTACCGGTTGAGACCTGATTTGTGACTAGGATGTGATCTATTCTGGAGTATGTTCCATGGGACTAGAGAAGAATGTGTATTCTTCTCTATTTGGTCCAGTGTGTCATTTAAAGTCTGTATTTCCTTGTTCATCTTTTGCTTAGATGATCTGTCCATTTCAGTGAGGGGGGTGTTAAAGTCCCCTACTATTATTTTTTTCTCTTTTTTTTTAATTTTATTTATTTATTTTTAAAGATTTTATTTATTTGACAGAGAGAGACACAGCAAGAGAGGGAACCAAGCAGGGGGAGTGGGAGAGGGAGAGGCAGGCTTCCCACAGAGCAGGGAGCCTGATGAGGGGCTCGATCCCAGGACCCTGGGATCATGACCTGAGCCGAAGGCAGATGCTTAACAACTGAGCCACCCAGGCGCCCCAAGTCCCCTACTATTATTGTATTGTTATCGATGCGTTTCTTTGATATTGTTATTAATTGGCTTATATAATTGGCTGATCCCATGTTAGGGGAATAGATATTTACAATTGTTAGATCTTCTTGTTGGATAGACCCTTTAAGTAGGATATTGTGTCCTTCCTTATCTCTTGTTATAGTGTTTGGTTTAAAATCTAATTTGTCTGATAAAAGGATTGCCACCCCAGCTTTCTTTTGATGTCCATTAGCATGGTAAATGGTTTTCCACCCCCTCACTTTCAATCTGGAGGTGTCTTTGGGTCTAAAATGAGTCTCTTGCAGACAGCATATCAATGGATCTTGTTTTTTTATCCAATCTGATCCCCTGTCACTTTTGATTGGGGCATTTAGCCCATTTACATTCAGGGTAACTATTGAAAGATATTAATTTAGTGCCATTGTATTGCTTGTGATGTGACTGTTCTGTCTATTGTCTGTGTTCTTTCTGGTCTATGTTACTTTTAGGCTCTCTCTTTGCTTAGAGGACCCCTTTCAATATTTCCTGTAGGGCTGGTTTTGTGTTTGCAAATTCCTTTAGTTTTTGTTTGTCCTGGAAGCTTTTTATCTCTCCTTCTATTTTCAGTGACAGCCTGGCTGGATATAGTATTCTTAGCTGCATATTTTTCTCATTTAGTGCTCTGAATATATCATGCCAGTCCTTTCTAGCCTGCCAGGTCTCTGTGGATAGGTCTGTTGCCAATCTAATGTTTCTACCATTGTAGGTTACAGACATCTTGTCCCAAGCTGCTTTTAGGATTTTCTCTTTGTCTCTGAGACTTGTAAGTTTTACTGTTAAATGTCAGGGTGTTCACCTCTTTTTATTGATTTTGAGGGGGGTTCTTTGTGCCTCCTGGATTTTGATTTCTGTTTCCTTCCCCAAATTAGGGAAGTTCTCTGCTATAATTTGCTCCAATATACCCTTCTGCCCCTCTCTCTCTTTCTTCTTCTTCTGGGATCCCAATTATTCTAATATTGTTTCGTCTTATGGTATCACTTCTCTCTCAAATTCTGCCCTCATGATCCATTAGTTGTTTATCTCTCTTTTTCTCAGCTTCTTTATTCTCCATCATTTGGTCTTATATATAACTAATTCTCTCTTCTGCCTCATTTATCCTAGCAGTTAGAGCCTCCATTTTTTATTGCACCTCATTAATAGCCTTTTTGATTTCGACTTGGTTAGATTTTAGTTCTTTTATTTCTCCAGAAAGGGTTTCTCTAGTAACTTCCATGCTTTTTTTAAGCCCAGCTGGTATCTTTATAATTGTCATTCTGAACTCTAGTTCCGACATCTTACTAAGGTCCGTATTGATTAGGTCCCTGGCAGTCAGTACTGCCTCTTGTTCTTTTTTTTGAGGTGATTTTTTCCATCTTGTCATTTTAAAGATTTTTTTTTATTTGTTTAACACAGAGAGAGAGAGAGCACAAGTAGGCAGAGCAGCAGACAGAGGGAGAAGGAGAAGCAGGCTCTCCACCTAGCAGGGAGCCCAATGCGGGGCTCGATCCCAGGACCCTGGGATCATGACCTGAGCCGAAGGCAGCCACTTAACGACTGAGCCACCCAGGCGCCCCTCGTCTTGTCATTTTATCCAGAGGAGAATAGATGAATGAGAGAACAAAATGCTAACAGGGTAACAACGACCCCAGAAAAATATACACTAAACAAATCAGAAGAGATCTGAAACCGGGGGGAAAGAAAGGGAAAGAAAAAAGGAAGAAAAAAAAGAGAATATGATCAAATATGATCAGGCTGGAGAATAGATCAGTGCGGCATACTAGATTTTGGGCGTATTTTGGTCTTTTAGAAGAAACTGCCTCCCAAAATTTTAAAGAAGGAAAAGCTTATATATTTACAAAAATATGGATTAATATGATGAAGGGATGGAGTATGACTGTGAAGATGAAAATTATAAAAGATTTTATAAAAGGAATTGATAAGATAAGAAGTTGGTTGAAAAAGGAAAGAAGAGAAATTTAAAAAAAAAGGGGGAGAGAATGTGATCAGGCAGGAGAGTAGAACAAAGCCGTACACTAGAGATTTAGGGTATATTTTGGTCTGTTAGAAGAAACTGTATCCCAAAATTTTAAAGAGAGAACAACTTATATATATACCAAAAATAAGGTTAACTACTGTGAAGGGATAGAATATGACTCTAAAAATGAAAAATAAAGAAGATTTTTTAAAAAGGGATTGATAAGATGTTGGTTGAAAAAGGGAAAAAGAAAAAGCTGGACTGTGACCTAAAAAAAAATAAAAGAGAGAGAAAGGGAAAAAGAAAAAAAAAGAAAATTAAAAAAATTAACTTTGAAAGACTAAAGAATCATGGGAAAAAAGCCATGAATTATATGTGCAGTATTCCCCTAGCACTTTTCTAATTTTCATCTTTACAGTCATATTCCATCCCTTCATTGTATTTACCCTTATTTTTGTAAATGTGGTCCTGAGACCACACTGTCCCACGAGGGTTCCACCCCCCCCTTAGCCACTGGAGTGATATGTCCCTCAGCGGCGCCGACTTCTAAAAGTTCCAATTTTGTGCTTCGGGGCTCTATCACTTGCCGGTAGCCACTGACTGAAGCCCCCTCCCCCGCCGTCTATCCTCCCAAATATCGCCTTGGATTCACTTCTCCACACGTCCTACCTTCCAGAAAGTGGTCGCTTTTCTGTTCAGAGAGTTGCTGCTATTCTTTTCATCGATTTCCTGTTGAGTTCGTAGGTGTTCAGAATGGTTTGATCCCTATCCAGCTCAGTTCCTGGGACCAGACAAAATTTAGGTCTCCTACTCCTCTGCCATCTTGCTCCTCCTCCCTCAGTAGGTTTCTGTTTAAGAGAAAATATGGTAAGGGCTTTTTAGAAATGCGTATTTATTAAAGAGCCTTTTTCCTTCAATAGTTTTGCACTTTATAACCCCACTGACTTGCATAATTCACTAACATTGCTGGTGATTATTTGAATGCTTTCTCACGCTGATGCTTCATTGCTGGCTTTCTTAATGGATGTTGTTGTTTTCTTTTTTTCATTTTATGTAGGCACCTTGGCGTGTGCACACTATATATGGATATAAAACATAAAATTTTTTTTTTAAACATAAAATTTTTATACATAGCCTAACATTAGCCATTTAGTGTCACACATTGATTTGTGTGAGTGTTGCCACTGGAGCACTCAGCTTCTTTTATGGCATTATGGGAAATATTCCCAGGGAAGAGATAATTTCCCATCAAGTTTTAGATTAGTTGCCAATACTCTTAGATTTTTTTTGTAAGTGATAATGCAATTACCTCTTCATTGGAAATACAGATTTTTAATCTTTTGATGTTTCAGTTCTGCTTATTGAGCTAATTAGTAGTTTCATGCAACTGTAACGTGATTATTGTACTGATCCCTAAATTATCCCAACTGTTCACAGTAAAAGTCTGATATCCTCTCCCTTTCCTTTAAGGCATTTATTTACATTTTCCCCCCAAATGACACTTTGTATGAATCGGATATATTATTAGCCTTCCATTGGACATTAAGAACATTTTAATCTATTTTTAATTCCTTGGATGTGAAGAAAAGCATACAATACATTCATATGTTTTCATGTTTTAGATAGCAGTCAAGTGATTCTACATTCACGTGGGAAATATTAGACTGGTATGAAATCATAGCTGCAAGGTGGCTTAAGAGACAGAGAGCATACTGCACTTCTCCCACAGGTTGAGCTTCTTTGTCATTCGAAAGAACTTCAAGGCTAGCCAGCATTTTTTATTTTTGAGGCACCTTCGATCATTGTCTTTTCAGAATTGAAAACAGAATCAGTCCCTGCTTTCAGCTCATTTGTTCTTGGAAACCACACCAGGATGTAGGTTGTCTTTTTTCTCCTATGTTATAATTAGAAGATATCTTCTTTACTAAGGACTTAGTGTCAGATCACAGTTACAAATAATAGTGCATCATCATCAAAGAATAGGTGTAACTCTAAAATCCCATATGCAATTTAAAAAGAAAAATTAGGTCCACGTCAAAACTGGAGACCATTGTCATCTTATAGACTAGGAAGACAGGACACAAAGTTTTTACCTAGACATCCTATACTTCTACTCATATACTTAAGGGGCATAGGAAGGAAATTACCGAAACACTGTGTTGTTTTTTTATCCAGCTTCTTTTCGGAGGTAAACAAGGTTTTTCCTATAAATTGAATTCTCTGAACCATTCTCTGTAAGTCACTTAGCTGATTTTTAATGGAGATTTTTTTTTAAAGAACAGCTTCAACTTCTTTTCATTTTATTGAAATATAGACTTTATAATAATGAAAAAGGGATATGATCCAAAACAATATATCTTTTGTATATTTTTATTTCAGGAAAATCCTGAATTTGATTTACATTTTGAAAAAGTATATAAATGGGTTGCCAGCAGCACCGCTGAAAAGAATGCATTTATTTCATGCATTTGGAAATTGAATCAGCGATATCTCCGAAAGAAAATTGATTTTGTCAATGTTAGCTCACAGCTCTTGGAAGGTAAAGTTAAATAGAAATGCTTATGTAAAATCAAGTATATCTAAAAGTGAATATATAATTTGACGTTACTCAAAATGATTAGTACACTGATTTACCTTATATTGCAAAGGAGTTGAAAAATAATTTTTCTTATTGCGGAGTGATACTTGTTCATTATAGAAATTGATACATTAAACTAAATAAATAAAAATCACTTATAAACTTAATCCTCAGAGATAACTGCTGTTAATGTTTTGTTAGTCTTCCAATCTTTTTTCTATGCATATTTAAATACTTTCTTAAAATAAATTCACATTCTGTTTTCTAACATACTTTTTCTTATAATGAACATTTTTCATGTTATTAAATATTTACCCCAACATTTTTTCTAGTGGTACCATAATATTCCATTATATGAATATACCTTAATTTATTTAACTAATCATTTATTTTAAAATTTCCAATCTTTGCTTATTTTAAATAATTTTGACATGAATATCCTTGTAGTTGTATTTTTGTGCAGAGTATAGGTACAGTGGTTAAAAATATAACTCAAGTCAGACTGCTTGGGTTCAAATCCTGGCTTTGTTGCTTACCAGTATATGACCTTGGACTATTCTATGTTTCAGTTTTCTTTATCTCAGAAATAGAGATAATTAGTAGTATCCACTCCATAGGGTTGTTGTGAGGATTAAATTACTTAATATATGGAAGTGATGAGATCAATGCCAGATATATAGTAAGTACTCAATAAATATTAGCTCTTATTATATTATCAGGATAAAATCCTTAGATAGAAAGTTAAATAGGGTATTTTTGGTCCGTATATCTTCAGGGATGTTACTGTGGATTATTTTGTGTTATAAGATGAAAACTACTGTTATTTATTAAAAATGTACAATGAGATTTTATTCTTTAAAAATTTCTTTCATAAAGACATAAACACTGTAAGAAAATGGTTCTGTATGCCTTGTGGATACAATTTGTGTTGTATTCTTTATCTCAAAGAAAGCAGTTGAAATAACAGCTAGTATGCAGATGAATAGAGTTGTTGCTCCTCTTATTAATAAAAAAAGATTTATTCCAAATAATATATATTAGAAAGAAAACTTAGATTTGTCCTAAGTTGTATATTAGCATTTTAAAATAGGAGCTTCATTCTATTCCGTTAAACTGGAAATAGCCAATATTCAACCATTTTGACCTATAAAAATGGCCATTTCAGATACTTCAGACTATTCATTTACTTAGCCAATTACCTCTGTCCTTTTTCTATTCTGTTTTACTTACTCCTTTTCTGTTTGCCTGTGGATATTTCCCTGAAATATAGTATTCCTTCCTAACACTTAGTAATCAGTAAGCCCATTATTGGTTTCAGGTTTGATGCTTGAAACCAGCAGAGGCAAGTCACATCTGTCAGGCCCTGTGCTACTCCCCCCAGTGGAGCCCTGGAGTAGCCCTCGGGGTTGACATCTCACCAACGTTAGACCCCAGTGTCTTGGCAATTGAATATGTTAAGGGAATGACCTTCAAGAAATTGATGGTAATTTTTCATGCCTTGAATAGTGGTTTAATTTGTTTTGAACGGCTCTTATTTTATTTTACTTATTTATTTTTTTTACCATTTCGGGGTTGAACATTTTGATGAGGGAATGATTGCTATTCTGTTTTTAAATATTGTGTATCTCCAGATGTTACTCGTTGCCTATGGTGTGTTTTAAACCAATATATTTCACTGAGCCAACAGTATGGGAAAATACATACCCTACCTGGTTTCCCTCATTAAGAAATTTTACCCTGATCAATGAGAAGAATATTGCTGTTTTTAGAATGCCTAGCTTAAAAAAAAAAAAAATTTTAATTTTATAAGGCCTAAAGCAATGTGTAGACATTTTCATGTTTATAAAAGTTACCCCTAATTCAGATCAATTTTAGGAATACTGTGAAGATCCTTAAGGATCTCACTGTGAAAATCATTTTCCATAAATCAGTAACTGTTGTTTTGGTTTAGTGGAGTCCAGAGAATAGTTTTCTTAATATCTGCAAATTTGTTTAAATGTTTTAATGGATTTTGAAATCATAGCCGTTGATTCCCATTTAAAAAAACAATAAATGTGTCTAAGCTTTGGGTGATGTTAGAAAACAAATAAGAAATTATCCTTTTAAGAGATAAGTAATCATCCCAGTAAGACTTCACTGTGAATGCTAACAGTGGCAACTTTAGTGGTTTTTATCGGTGACAACTGAGTATTTATGCTAGTAAGTGGGGTTTCTCAGCAGAAGGCTTTTAAGATTTTTAAAGGAGGATTTTGTTAGCAGTTGAAGTAGAGTCAAGTTTTTGTTTGGCTTTTTCTTTTTCATTCTTATAACCAGATTTTAAAAAAGAAATCTTTGACTTAAATCCTTAAAAGCCAGCTTGAACAGATAACTCATGTGTTCTTTTTAAATGGTTTCAATCTCTTCCTTTCTAACAGTGTTTTATGACTAATCTATTGTGAGGGAATGTCTGGGTAAAGTTTTGGGGCCTTGAGTGAAAATAACTAGACTAAATGCATGAGTCACAGCTGACCTAAAAATAATTCTCAGGAAGTGATCTATTTCCCAGTTTTCTCCAAGGACTAGTCAGTGTTGTCTCTTAAAAGAAAGAAAAAATAGAAAGATAAATGTATTTTTAGTCATTGTCAGAAAAAGAATAAGAGAATTAACTCTGGAAATTTAGTTTCTGTGGATCTTTCCACTTTGTACTTGATTTGGACGTTGTCTTTTAAACTTTGATGTACCAGAAGTTCAAATGAAATATGGGTAGTATTTTAAAATTTTAAACCTGTATACTTTTCTACCCAGCTAATATTCTTTGCTTACTTTCCTCTGCTTTTTTCATACTTTTTACTCTCCAGAACTGCCTAAAGTTACAGAAGGTGCGTAACACCTTTTCTTTTTATTCTATTCCATATATTTTTTATTACTTGCCATTGTTATGTATTGTTGGTTGCATATTTTATGAAATTGTGCATAGGGACAAGTTTATTACCACAAAATCCATATAGTAATAAAATTAACGAAAGGATTCATTATTGACTTCCAAAGGACTGTTTCATGGAAGAGAAAATACTTCTGATGCAGTTATGGTCGTTTAAAATATTTATTTATTTTAAATAAACTGCTTGTGTAAGGAGCTGTACAGAATGATTTGGGCAGTCCCTGCCCCCTAGTGGCTAATAAACTGTCAGATGTGAGCTAAAATGGACTCGTTCAAAGGCCAGGGAGCTAGGTGATACCTGTCTAAAGAACTATTTATATACTGTAATCTGTAATTGCCTGTACCAAAAGTTTTATTCCCCTCCTTTTTTTTTTCTGGGACATTATCTAAATCTGCCTAATTATCATTCTTAAGAGTAAATCATTTATTACTTTGAGTTAGTTGTTTTTTTCCCTAGAACAAATTAACGTATGTCAAGTCATGCTGAATGTAAGTATTTCATTTGTATACAAAATAATGAATATTTAAAGTTCCAGAGGTGGTGATTTAAATCGTGTCCCATTCAGTTTATGAAAATCAATAACTTTATTTAGAGTTTTAGTTAGGGGGTAAAAAAAATTTTTTTTTCACTTTACCTCTCCTAACCTCAAGCTTTATATAAAATCCCACAAACTAAATGTATTTTCTCAAAAAATTGAACTGAAACGTTTATCCAGAAGACACCTTACATTTGACCTCTTGGTCTTTTGTTAAGAAGCATGAAGACTAGTTAAATTTTTGTAATTTCAAACGTCCATGCTATTGTTGCTCTTCTTACTGTGTAGACTTGTTGAGAAAACTTTTATACCTGATCTTTAGAAATTTTATTAATGCATGTGAAATTGTTTTAAACAAAGAAATGGAAAATCCATTTAATATTTTTAATACCCAAAATAAATTGTGAATACATTTTTCATTTCAACTAAAAGTTATTTGGAAAAAAAAAACATAACAAGGACAAAAAAGAACAGAAGAAAAATGTTACCTGGGGAAAAAAAGGAAAGCAAATTATTTTTTATGTGCCCTAAATTCATAGTCATTGTTTTGTTAGAGCAAAAACCACATCAGATAGGAAAAAAAGATTAGGCTTGTTTCCACATGTTTTGTTTCTGGTTTTGCATTTGTTTTTGTAGTTTAATTATGTTTTGGGAAATTGTTCTAAAGCCTATTTTAACACTTAAAAGTGAGCGAATTAGACTGCATGCTTTGTATTTGTTATAATAAATGTTACAGTAAACATATTAACATGCATTTTTTCATAAAAATAAGGTTTTTTTTTTAATATTCTGAATCACCCTTTCCTATTTTTCAGCCACTAAATGTGACCTGTGCTTATAAATGACTATAAGTACCGTGTTATTGTCTTCCTACTTTTTTACTACTTTATTTTTAATTTTTACCCTCTTTAAGAGTCTGTTCCAAGTGGAGAAAATCAGAGTGTGACAGGAGGTGATGAAGAAGTAGTAGATGTATACCAAGAGTTAAATGCAAGAGAAGAGCAGGATATTGAAATAATGATGGAAGGCTGTGAATGTGCAATCTCTAATGCTGAGGCCTTTGCAGAAAGGTTGTCCAGAGAGCTGCAGGTGCTGGATGGGGTAAGACCTTTTTATAATCTGTAAATGAATGATGTGTAGTGGATTGAGAAGACCGGTGATGTTCAGATTTTACTGCCTCAGCACCTAAGCCTTTATAGTGTGATTATTGCCATCTCTCTCTGTAAGCACATTACCAGATGCTTATCTTTCACTGCTCTTGTTCAAAAGACAGAACCATTCCTGTTAATCAGGCCAGTGAAGGCAGTTGGGTGAGGTTGGGGATTTGGGGAGGTTCTTGACACAAAGCGATGGAAGTAAAAAGTAGCCGACCAGAAACCAACTTGGGGTTGCTTTCCCCCAGCCTCTGAAACATCACAGAATAATTCAGTGCAAAAGAATAGCATTTTTATGGTTCAAAAAAAAAAAAATAGGTACAAATCAGAAATAGAAAAATTAGTTTGAAATAAGTGAATCATTTACTCAAATGGAGCAGAGTAAGGATAGTGAAAACAAGGAGCCAGGGGAAAAGGATGTTTGGCTCCCCTCCTCAAATGTTTTGGGATAGCTCTTTTTAATTTGTATGCACAGTTTCTGAGTCTACAAACTAAATGCACATCTTTAGAAAGTAAAAAGCTAAAAGACATAACTAAAAATAACACCACTAATGTGAGAAAAATCTAGAACAAGAACGTGTGTTTTTTTGTTTTGTTTAAACAAAGCAAGCATTTAAGAAAAACCCTCAGAGAATGAGGAATATTTTAAAGACAAAGAATTTTGACATTTTGTACATGAAAGGTACAGAATTTATGAGGTTGACTTCAGGCCCAGAGATTACACAAATAGTCCAAGTTTACAAGTTTATAAAACTCACTGGAAGCTAAGCCTAGAAGAAACTTCAAGTTGTTTAAGTGGAAATTGTCCTGGACAAGGTCGAGCCCCAGGTCTGCTACTTGAGAGATCTATTCAGTGGCCCAGAGGCCTGCTGACTCTTATGGTTGGGCCGCACTTACAGTTGACTTATTATGAATAGCATATAAAATAATGTGTGAAATTATAGCATCAACTGTCCAATGAAATTCTTTTCATTCCTGGTCTGGTCCAAGTTTTTTCCTCATACCCTGTTACCTGCCTTCTTAGTGTGGCTTAGTGGTTTATATTTTCTTTTCTAATGGATATTGCATGTATGTTACAAGTTATCACCTTGCTTCCCAGTTTTATGTTGGATTTGACAGCTTCCATATTTCAGGAAATTTAGAATCAATAGTCAGAGTCACTTAGAAAATGATAAGGGGATGATGGTTTGTTCCTGCTTTGCCTGGAAAAAAACATACAGTAGTTGCAAATGAAAGAGAAAAGAAAGAAGACAATAGAAGGAGCTATCTTATGGATATATAGTCTGTGGCCATGTGGTCTTATGGTCGTGGCTCTTCCACATCATGTAAGTACCAATTGTACTACAGTTATAAATTAGTTCAGTGTATCTTTCAAACACTGATATACCACTGCTACCCTCTTGACTAAGGTATTACACAGGTGGTTATACTTTTTTTAGCATTTTACAACAATGTTAAGAAGTACAGGAAATTTTTATAGCTGGTAGAATTGGAAGTGTCAGAAATGGGAGTATATCAGGGTGCCTGGGTGGCTCAGATGGTTAAGCATCTGCCTTTCGGCTCGGGTCATGGTCCCAGGGTCCTGGAATCGAGCCCCACATCGGGCTCCCTGCTTGGTGGGGAGCCTGCTTCTCCCTATTCCTCTACTGTTCCCCCTGCTTGTGTACTCTTGCTCTCTCTGTCGAATAAATAAATAAATTCTTTAAAAAAAAAAAAGAAATGGGAGTATATCAACACTGATGATACATTGTGGGACAGAACCCTACTTGTACAGTCTGAGAAAATATAAAATACTGAGGCATGGTCCCTAACCTTGATAGGGAGGCAAGTGTATCTTCTTGAAATACTGTGTAAAAACAGAACATAAACATAAAGTGATAAACTGAAATAAATGTTTAGATGCATACCAATCTTTGTTATTCAGGTATCAAAGGGATTTAGCAATATTTCATCTTACGCTTCTTTTATACATTTAAATAATATGAAGAGTTACTTTTGTTTTTCACTTTGTAGGCCAACATCCAATCAATCATGGCCTCTGAAAAGCAAGTGAACATCCTGATGAAGTTGTTGGATGAGGCTCTAAAGGAGGTAGATCAGATTGAGTTGAAACTGAGCAGTTATGAGGAAATGCTCCAAAGTGTAAAAGAACAAATGGATCAGATCTCTGAAAGCAACCACCTAATTCATCTTAGTAACACTAATAATGTAAAACTCCTGTCTGAAATAGAGTTTCTTGTGGTAAGTATGTTGATAAATTGCTACCACCAACAAAAACAAAACAAAACAAAATATAATATATAAAACCCATTTGTAAACATTTTCTAAATTCCTTCTGAGAGTAAGATTTAAAATAATTCTAGGGCGCCTGGGTGGCTCAGTTGGTTAAGCGACTGCCTTCGGCTCAGGTCATGATCCTGGAGTCCCGGGATCGAGTCCTGCATCGGGCTCCCTGCTCAGCAGGGAGTCTGCTTCTCCCTCTGACCCTCCTCCCTCTCATGCTCTCTGTGTCTCATTCTCTCGCTCAAATAAATAAATAAAATCTTTAAAAATAAATAAATAAATAAATAAATAAAATAATTCCAAAGACCTTATGATAGTATTGAGTAGCATCTTACCTGTAAATTTCCCAAAATTACATGTGCAAATGGTGTATTTATATATATTCCAGAACCACATGGACCTGGCCAAAGGTCACATAAAGGCCCTTCAGGAGGGAGATCTTGCTTCTTCTAGAGGCATCGAGGCCTGCACCAATGCCGCTGATGCCCTTCTGCAGTGCATGAATGTAGCTCTCCGTCCAGGTATGTTCATTAGAAATGATAAAATCTGACCAAGAATCTGAGACTAAACCTGTAACTTGGTATAAAGCTTTTAACAAGAAATACATGGGGCAAGTGGTTTAGGGTGACTGTAGTATTAGCTCCTCAAACCAGTTTCATTTCTTTCCAAACGTGTTTCTGTTGGCACTAAGAACTTTTTCATTTTAGTTCCTGTGATTGATCTTCAGTGACTCTAGTTAACACCATGATTTTTCTCTAGTACAGTCTACAGAACCTAGCACAGAGTTGATGCTTTGATTAGACCAGAGAGCATGAGGAGGTTTTGTTAGGCAAGTGGTTCCAAAACTTGAGTTTGCTCAGAATCATGGAGATGGTTCCCAGATCATGCTGAGGCAGGACCACACTTGGAGAACCACTGTACTACACTGTTTTCTCCTCTTGCTTACCTTTCTTTTATAAAGCAGATGAATAAACCAATAAAATTTTGGGGTCTTCAAAACAGAAATGTGGATACTGTTATAAATGTATTCATTGAAGATCAGAGAAATCTCTTTACCTGTTAAATCAGTCAGGAACTGTTCTGGTTTCAGGCCATGACATGCTCCTGGCAGTCAGACAGCAACAGCAGCGTTTCAGTGATTTGCGAGAGCAGTTTGCCCGGAGACTGGCCAGTCACCTCAACAACGTTTTTGTTCAACAGGTAATTTTATTTCAGTAATAAAACTGGCATGTTTCTGTAGCTTTTTGATATATATGTTTCCACAAAAATTGTAATGTGTTTATTTGGGATCACATTCTTTCACATGTTTATTCAATTTTGAGATCTTTAAATAAGATTTTTAAGTATTTGCTCATAGGTGTATGTTGGGCCTCAACTGTCTCCTTAGGTAGACAGTCTAGTTCCTTCTAGCTAAAACTCTCTGATTATAGAAATCAAATAAATAACTATGCTTACTTATTACATATACCATTTATAAGTTCTTATTTATAAAAGTGAGTCCAAACTTGTTACGTTTGCTGCTTAGCCTATTTTATTTTTCAGTATTTTGAGGTGAGAACCAGGACTTGACTCAAGTGTTTTAAATGTTTCATTGGCTGTATATATTTTTATATATGAGAAAAATGACTATGGCTGAGTTACAAATTCCATTTGATTTAATTTTATATAAACCCTTTGTCTACATTTTTATATGGAAAAGGAGGTTATAATTAACGTTGTGGCAATAATAATATTAACAATATTAAGAGTACCTTTGAGGGATTTGAATAGAAGACATTTTAATCTGGCATAATAGATCAGGTTTCTTACGTTTTTCATCTCTTATTAAAGTTATTGGACAAAAAAAAATTGAGAGAAATTTTGTTCAAGAAATGCTGTCTGAAACATTAGATTCTTATCTTGTTTTCACTTTGCAGTATTCTAAAACAATTGTATTTACTATATTTTATTTCTGATTAGTTTACTCAGGCCCTCCTTCAACTCTATAACAGGTCCTACTTTCTTTCGGTGCCTGTGAGTACATCAGATTTGGCTCAAGCTTTTCTCTTTTTTTTTTTCCCTATAAAGTTTGCTAAACTTAACAGCAGCAGAATCTTAAAAGATTATAACTTTACTGACCTAAGCTGCCTGTTAACCATATTTATAGCAGTTTTTTAATGTCCCATAGCAGAACGTTTATTTTGGCCAGAAAGGCATTTCATCTCCTTCTGCTTGCCTCTTTTCCTGTTATTCTTTCACTCACTCACTCCTTCATTTATTTAGAAACCTTTTACCAGGTGATTGGGATACATACCAGACATTTACTTGGGTATATAGGTGAGAGGCTGATCCTGTCCTCAAGTGGCTCACAGTCTAGGGGAGGGAGGGAGATACACTTAGGAAGGGTAAATATTATTGTAGCGGTCACACCTGTGAGCATAAAGGAAGCCCATCTAGCTAAGGGTGCAAGGGAGACATTGGGGAAGACTCTCTTAATGTTTCACTTGACCTGAAAAGTATCAATAAAAAAGTAAATCTAGAAGTCACACAGGAAATAATCAAATTTTTTTTTGCATTAGTATTTTAATATTTATTTCTTCCCAATTCCATAGTTTTTAAAAATGACATTGTTGATAGTGATGTTACCCACATTTGTAGAGGGCATTGGGAATGTTGGAATGTTGGAATGTTGGAATGTTACTGTAGGTAAACAGCAGTCCTTTCTGCACCCTTCATTGTTTGTTGTAACATGCAGTTAATTTATGATTTTGCTTCCTTGCCTTTTAAACTAATGGCTTTGTTTACTATGAATGCTTCCAGTTCTGAAAATCTAATATGTATTGTTACATGTGAGTGATGCATGTTGAAAAACCAGAATGTTGCAACAACCTAGGATATGCTGAAGAAAGTGGAGGAGGGTGTCCCAAGTACAGAAAAGAGATTTTTCTGTGTGTTGAATTCAGTGCATCAGGTCACCTGGCGAAAGAGTTGGGAAACATGGGTATTTTCTATTCCCAGTTGTGGAACAAATGAGCTGGGAAAAGTTGATTACCATATTATAGTATATCTCTGTCAATCGGCAGATTTTCATTGTGTGCCTCTTAAATACTTGTTTCCATATGTAAGAATAAGAAATGGCTTCTACACTCCAGATGCTTCTAAGAGGGCATTAAGACTAATGTGCTTAAAGCTCTACAGCAATGCATATATGAAACTGTTAATTGTATGACTACATATACATAGTTTATATATGTATGTACAAGTGCTAAAAAGTTTTAATCAAAAGTAAGTTTACTGAGAATTTAGGTAGTCAAGTATGGCATCATGGATAAAATAAGACTTGAACAGAGTCTGCAATGCAGTTTTTGGCAAATGTATGTATATTCGACTTATGTAACTACTGTATAGAAGAATACAGTGGAAATAATCTGTTGATCACAACATAACAGTAATTTAAGAGCACTGATTCCCAGTCTTTTTAAAATTCATACATCAGTAAAATTAAAAGAAATAAAATTTGGAGACTTACTAAGTCACCAATTTTTTATTTTACCAAATAAAAACTTTAAAAAAGAAATCCTGCCATCTACTTTCACTATCTTTTTGTCTTGGCACTAAACGAAAAGAATATAACTTCAGATTTCCAGATTAAATACATTTCCCTTTATGAGAAACTCTCTGCCATCATTTTATTTGTTTCTTAGTGCCATAGGCCAGTAAAAAACATCTTCGCATTTGGGAATCACTGATCCAGAGCATGCTATGATACAGCTTTCATATTAGTACTTCCACATAGCTATATTACTTTAATAAAACCTGAAATGCATTTTTTTAATATTCACTTCTTACTATATATACATATAATAGAGTAATATTTTTAACAATTGACTAGATTCTTTTGACTCTTCTAGGTCTTCTTACACACTCAGCTTCCATTGAAATTATAGACTCTTACCTATAATTTTTACACTTACAAGGGATTTATATATCTAAGAAGATATTCAACTAGAGAATCAGGTCAGTTACACTAATTAGGATTCTGATATCAAAAACACGCAGCCAAATTAAGGCTAACGAAATTGAGGAAATACTTGCATAAAATGTATGTATTTAAAAAACTATTTTGGGGGCGCCTGGGTGGCTCAGTTGGTTAAGCGACTGCCTTCGGCTCAGGTCATGATCCTGGAGTCCCTGGATCGAGTCCCACATCGGGCTCCCTGCTCGGCAGGGAGCCTGCTTCTGCCTCTGACCCTCCCCCCTCTCATGTGCTCTCTCTCTCTCATTCTCTCTGTCTCAAATAAATAAAATCTTTAAAAAAAAAAAAAACTATTTTGGTTGTCTTTTGAAAGATTCGGCTTGAAAGGATAACTCTTTTCTGCCTTTTTTGTCCCCCTTGGGTTCTTCAGAGACCTCATAATTCTGTACATTTTCTTTTGCAATATGATGAGAACTGATTATCCACTGAACTAAAAGTACAACTGGGAAAAACTGAAATTGTGGGGGGTTTGCTATATGCTTAAGCTTGGGAATTTTTCTTTCAATGTATTTTTACAGAAACATCCTATAGTAAAATAAAGCCTGTAAAATATACCACCAGTGTTCAGTTCATTTCACAAAAATTGTTTCCTTAAGGGCGCCTGGGTGGCTCAGTTGGTTGAGCGACTGCCTTCGGCTCAGGTCATGATCCCAGAGTCCTGGGATCGAGTCCCGCATCGGGCTCCCGGCTCAGCAGGAAGCCTGCTTCTCCCTCTCCCACTCCCCCTGCTTGTGTTCCTGCTCTCTCTGTCTCTGTCAAATAAATAAATAAAATCTTTAAAAAAAAAAAAAAAAAAAATTGTTTCCTTAAGCATGTTTCACCATTTCCTAAACATAGGTTAATGATCTGTAGTTAAAAAGCTTAGAGTTAGGATTATTTAAGATCAGTTTTTGTGATGTTTGTTGGAACTGTGTTCAGACTTTCTTTTTTCTTTAAGAAAACAAAAATAAACATGCCACTACACAGAAAGAAAGAGTTCCCAAATCTTGAGAATTTATTCAGCATTTGAAATGAGTGTATCATTTCTGTTTGAAAATCAGTTACAGTGGTTAAGAGTACGGCGGCGGAGCCAAACTTCCTGGATTCAAAACCCTGACTCTGCTACCTCCTAGCTGGGTGACCTTTAGCAAGTTAATTAACCTCCTTGTGCCACAAATCCTAGTAATATATACGCTAATGAAAATTTATAATGTACTAAGTTTGTAGAAAATGTGTCTGTCTTAGATTAGCTGAACACAGAGCTCGGCAGGGGGCTCAGTCCCACGACTGCAAGATCATGACCCCAGCTAAAAGCAAGAGTCAGACCCTTAACCGACTGAGCCACGCAGGCACCCAAGTTTTGCTATTTTTTAAATGAGAAGCAAAGTACTTTACAAGGTTATTGTGAACATTAGAACTTATATATATAGAAAGAGCAAGAGAGCACACCCAACATGACAAAAGGCATTCAATAAATTGTTATTGTTACTAATTTATTATTATTTATAATAAGAAACTTTATTTTTTAATTTAAATTCCATTTAATTAGCATATAGTATATTATTAGCTTTAGAGGTAGAATTTAGTGATTCATCAGTTGCATACAACACCCTGTGCTCATTCCATCAAGTGCCCTCCTTAATGCCTATCACCCAGTTACTGCATTCCCCCACCCTCAGTTGTTTCCTATAGTTAAGATATAATAAGAAACTTTAAGCAATGTCTTAATTTTTTTAATATATAAAGAATAAAGTTGTGTGCACATGAGAATTCTAGAAGTGACCGTAACTTATATTAGTGATTGAATTAAACAGTTTAAATAATGTAATTTTCCTATTTCCTATAGTTATTTTAGAACAGTTTCTCTAAAATTAAATCTTCTGTTAGCACTAATCACATTTAATCTATCTTGATAGTAATGGTTTGAAGATCATGATGTTCTTCATATTAGAAGGCAATTCTTCAGGTGATGGTGATCTTAAAATGCTGTTTGCAAAAGAAAGCTTTGAATAGTAACATGTGAAAGAGCTTTATAAATCGTAAAATCCTCTACAAACAATAATTAGTTCTTCCATTTTTAGGGGAGAAGGTTTTTAATTGAAGAACTTTCCTGACACTAAATTAAGTAATATAACTTAACATGTAATGGCCTGAATAAACAGTTGCAGAAGAACATAAACAATAATTTTGAGTCTTGAATCATTGAGAAAAATTAATGAGAAAGACTGGGATGATGAAAGATTTCTAATACTATTATTAATAAAGAATTTTTAAAAATTAACCTTTGGCAACTATAATGAGAGTTGAAGTATAGTCCAGTGGTAATAACTGTGTGTTTTATTTAAAATGATTAATTATTTTCATATTTGTTAGTCTTTACCTCACAGAAAACATGTAGGTGACCAGGCATTCCAAATATATAGAATAGTTGCATTTTTCAACACTGTAGCTCTTAGTCCACAATGATTCTTTTGGAAGATGTGATTGTTTTATATTTAGTCAGCCAGCCAACAAAGAATGTTCACATAGGTCCATGCTCCCCTATCTAAAACTCTTGGGGTCAGCTGTGTTTTTAGAATTTTTCAGATTTTAGTAAAGTAATATAGTACATATACTATGTATTATATAACCACTCCAAGAGGGCCTGGAGCAGGGCCCTGTGATTAAGCACACAATGTTCCTACAGCAAAAAATATAAATAGTCATTCCAAACACTATAAATAGCCTCATGTCAGTACAGGTCAAGTTTTGCCATTAAAATAGATTTGGCACTGAATTTAAACAGAGGTTTTAGAGCTTTTTGTATTTTAGAAGTACAGAAAGGGATTGTACACAGTATACCTTGTATATAACATCTATAATAGCTATGAACTTGTGTTGCCTCTCCCTTTCTTTTTCTTATTTTAAATTGGTCAGTCTAGTTTTCTGATACTTACCTGCTTTCTCTAGTCCAATTTCCTAAGTATCAGTAATCTTAATCTTAAGTAATATCAGTAATCTTAATCTTTTTTTCAGTAATCTTAATCTCAAGTAATCCTTAATCTTAGAAATATATTGATTATTCTACATAGTTTTATATGGAATTTCTATATAATGGGTCCTTATTTTTCTTTTTATCTCCATTTTAAATTGGGGATATAATCTTAGAAGAAGAAAATTCTCCAACAGGCTGATTTGAAAGCTTTAATGAAGAAGGAACTCAACGATGATTTTAGTACTTGGCATGTCTTATTCTCCTATCTTTCTTGCTCTAAAGTACTTCTCAATTGCTAGAGAATTCCTCATTGCCTTAGATCAGGAATTTTTTTCTGGATACTCTGTAGTTAAAAGAAATTGTTTAAAAAATCCATAACCAAAGTTCTTATTTTGTGTCTGTAGTAAAGCATATAAATTAGAGAAAATAAACCTCTTTTAAATTAAAAGAATTTAAATTCAGTGGTCAGTTGGTTTTGCATCCAACTCTTGATTTCAGCTCAGGTCATGATCTCAGTGTCGTGAAATTGAGCCCTGTATCGGGCTCCGCGCTCAACACAAGAGTCTGCTTGAGATTCTCTCTCCCTCCCTCTCCCTCTGCCCCTCACCCTGTGCTCGCTAAATAAATAAATAAATAAATAAAATCTTTAAAAAATAAAAATAAAATCATTTAAATTCAGGATATTTATAAGCTAATTTAGGTCAGCTAGTATAATACACATATAATTAGGTTTAGGTAACTTTACTAGGAAATGAGTTAACCAGCACCAAAAGTCAATCACTGTGTCATTTTAACAGAATGCTAACAAATAAGTTCTGACTAAGCAAATTAGATTGAGTCAGAATTACATCAAATAAATCCATATTGTTTTTCCTTTTCCTTGTTCTTGGGAACTTATATTTTCAAGGGGAAATTTACTCCTTTAATCTTTCAACTCTTTTAATTATTTCCTGAAATATTTCCTGAGAGTTTATATCCTGTATGACACTAGCTTTGAGTTCATGACAAATATTGACAAAGTAGCAGAGAGAGCTAGATTGTTTCCAAAGAGGGCTGGGAAGATTTTTATTGTGTTTGTTTGTTTTTTAGATACCAATAACTGGTAGGCATTTGCAGTTTTTGAGTCTGGTTAAAATGATTTTGTTAGATATGTTTTTTGTTTTTGTTTTTGTTTTGTTTTGTTTTTGCTGGTATTGTCTTTTTGTTGTTCCATGAGTCATTGTTTGCGTATAACACTCAGTGCTCCATGCAGAACGTGCCCTCTTTAATACCCATCACCAGGCTAACCCATCCTCCCACCCTCCTCCCCTCTAGAACCCTCAGTTTGTTTTTCAGAGTCCATAGTCTCTCATGGTTCGTTAGATATGTTTTTAAAAGAAAATGGAAGTGTGACTCACATGACTAAGGTTCCAGTTCTTCCCTCCAGCATGACCTGAGTAAATCACTTAACCCTTTAAGTTTCAGTTTCTTCTAGAAAATAAGCTCATTGGAACAGATAATCTTCCAGGCCTATATTTTTCAAAACAAAAGTCAGGATGCATCATCTAAGACTAACTGATAACTTACTAATTTATTTACATAACAGCCTTGTCAAGGTTTTTAAATAAAATCATGTGTAGTTATTTAACAAATTTCTAGAAAAACTAAAATTACACTATTATTAAGTATTATCCAGGAAAGCCCAGGATATCATCATCTGTGTTGCTTCCTAGTTCTAAAAGTTTATATCCTGTATGTCCTTATCTGTTGTTTTAAATATTGTAGACTCTAATAGTAGAAATACCATAGATGTAGACAATTTGTTTTGAATGACTTCCCTATTTGATGTGTTTCTTGATACAGTTGTATCATGAGGTTTATTTGCTTAGTAAATAGCAAAATGTATGGTATGGGAGAGACAGCCTTGATTAAAACATTCATTGTCAACTCCTTTAGAAGATGAAATGGGTAGTTGATTTATCCCAGAGTGCCATTCTTCCATGTTTATGATTATTTCATGGTGATGAGGTTCGGTAGATTTACACCGGATGATAAAAGAAGACAAGTAAGTACTCAAGTTTTTATCCTTCTCTCTTCTTTTGCTTTTCTTTGGCTACATTTGGTCATTGTATAGACTTTTCAATTGCAACATGTTTCTTTTACTGTCAATGTATTTATTGACTTATTTACAATATCACTCTAGGGTCATGATCAGAGTTCAACTCTTGCTCAGCACTCTGTTGAACTGGCTTTACCCAACCATCATCCATTTCATAGAGACTTGCTTCGATATGCCAAGTTGATGGAGTGGCTGAAGAGTACAGATTATGCAAAATATGAGGGACTAACAAAGGTATGAGTTTGATATCAGTTACTCACTGAGTATGGAATATAATCTTCTAGAATCAAGATGTCATGTATTCAGTTCCCCAAGTGACATTTGAAGTACTGTAGTACCTTCTTAATGAAGCAGAAACTAATTGAATTTCTGAGTGCTCATTAACCAGGCAGAACACTTACTTTATTTACTTGGGTAAAGATGAGCTAAATTTCGAACTTCAGCTTAATATAGTAATAGGCTGTACTGTGGCCTTAAGCATCATTCAGTTTAGTTAAATGCAATAATTATTTCCTGAATTTCTTTACAAGCAATATAGAAACTAGAGACTAGAAGATATATAAGTAAGGTGTTTGCCCTCTAAGAATTCATAACCTGTTCGATAAAGCAAGTGCAGAGTGCCTCTTTATTAAGCAAGCATTTCACTTTTCCAGGCACATGGGGCCTAACAAACAAGCCCTACTTCTAGAGAGCCTCACATCTGACTGGGAAGAACAATTACACTTAAAACAATCAGCAAAACATTAAGTGCTAAACTGAAAATGAGTTTAAATGCATGGCAGTTTAGAAAAGAAAAATCCATGTCCTGAAAACTTCAGGGCAGAAATTGGACTTGAATTGAGTTTTATTTATTTATTTATTTATTTTAAAGATTTTATTTATTTATTTGAGAGAGAGAATGAGAGACAGCACAAGAGGGAAGAGGGTCAGAGGGAGAAGCAGACCCCCCGCTGAGCAGGGAGCCCGATGGGGGACTCGATCCCGGGACTCCAGGATCATGACCTGAGCCGAAGGCAGTCGCTTAACCAACTGAACCACCCAGGCGCCCTTGAATTGAGTTTTAAATAATGAATGGGATTAGATAAACCAGAAAAGAGAGAAAGGATATTCCAGGGATGAGGAGCAAGATGTGCAGACAGAGGTAGGAAAATACGCCCTTTTGTCAGGACAATGGAGAATGCAAGCCTATGAAGCAGAAATTTCATATTCTGGAGCAGTGAGAAATTATGTTGAAAAGATGAGCCATGAGACCTAACAGCATTCTTCATACATGGGAAAAGACTAGATGAGGCAAATTCATAAGAACCTAATATAATAATTCAGATGAAATGAAATCTGACCCAGGAAGATAGTGGTAGGAATAGAGAATAGAAACCAAAAGAGAGATTCCAAGGATGGAAGGGACAGGATGATGCCAAACTTTCTAGGCTTGGAGATTAGAAGAGCAGTGCCAGAAACGTCAGCAACTGGAGAAGATGAGTCATTGATTCATATATGAATTGAGCACCTGTTATGTTCTAAGTAAGTGCTAGAGATGCAGCACCAAAGGAAATGGGCAAATGCTTGCCTTCTCAAAGCGCATGGTTTGGTGGAGAAAGACTTGACAAAAAAGTCAGTTGTGTAGTACGTTAGAAGGTACTGCTGAGTGCTCTGGCGAAAATAAAGCAGGGAATGCTGGGACTGGGGGAAGACTATAGTTTGAAATAAGGCATCATGAGAAGATAACATCTGAGCGTAGATTTTTAAAATGAGCAAGGATGTAGGGCGCCTGGCGGGGTGGGCTCAGTTGGTAGAACATTCAACTCTTGATCTCAGGGTTCTGAGTTCGAGCTTCATGTTGGGTGTAGAGATTACTTAAAAATAAAATCTTAAAAAAAAAAAATAATAAGCAGGGCTGAGCAGTGCGAGTTTCTTGGGGAAAGCTTTCCAGGCACAGTACAAGTGGTCTATGGCAAGAGCATGGCTGATGTCCTGGGGGAGCAGCAAGGAAGGCACTGGGGTTGGAGCCCAGAGCACCAGGGCCTGGACCTTAGAAGGAAGGTAGGAGAGGTAAAGTGGGGGTGGGGCAGGGCAGATCTGGAAGGGACTGTGTGCCATGGTAAGGACTTGGCTTTTACTGTGAAGGAGCTGGGGGAGGGGGTTTTGGTAGGCTTTGAGCAGTAGAATGACATGATCTGATTTAGCTTTAATAAATGGCCATTGTGGCGGGAAGCCATGGGTACAATACTTTTCTGGCATTTCTGCTGTGACCTTTAGTATTGGAATTGACTATGTCACTTAGGGAGCTGAAGAATTGCTACCTAATTCCAGTATATAAATAGCTATATTTATATATCAGATATAAGAGCAGTTTACTTAAAATACTGAAATACCCTGAAAAACATGTAAACTCTTTTAAGTTTTTATGAATTTGGAGTTTAAAAATAAAAAAATTAAGTAATGCATAACTTAATTTTAATAATTAGTAATAATTTAATTATGTGGACAATATGACCTGAAAAGATGTTCTTGAATTGGAAAGAGTGATGTGTTTTGTTTCTTGGAGTGAAAACAAAAATATTGAGATTGTTAATATAAAAGCTCTTCCCCTCAACCCATGTGCTTGTGACAGAAAATTTCCTAACAGAATTTAGATAGCAAAATCATCTTATTTTTTGCTAGTTTTGCTAGCCAAAGTTTTTCCTAGTTTTACTCAAAAAGTGGTGTTATCTTTCAGAGTGTTCTATAATGAAGATTATTCTCTCCCAGGAAACTAATGTTTATACATGAACCCATTTTATTTTCATACTTACTGAAATAATTATTACAACTTCCTCTAGTGTTAGGTTCATACTTCATGAGAAGGCAGAGGATTAGGTAGAAATTTATGAGCACTATGACGATAAAAAAGCAGGTTGTACATTCCTATCAATGTATCAGTATGAACACACTTGGCATGAGGACATTCTTGAATGTATATCAGTCTTTATGTTTTCTCCTCAAAGTGCCTTTGCCTACTTAAAGTAAGATCTGGTTCCCTTTACTTCTAAACTGAGATAAGAAAGAGGACATAAACCTTGGTAAAATAAATAATATTTTAAAAGTATAATTAAAAAAATGCTTTTCAAAAAGAATATAAGTATCCTGGGGTATTTATATATATCTTATCTGGTCAGCTATTTTAGGTAAGACTACTTTTGTTTCTCAGAATTAGTCTTTTAAGTGTTCTGCAACTCTACTGTTATGTTATATTTTGTTTTGTTTTGTTTTGTTTTCATTCAACAGAATTCTGATTTGGAGATATCTTAAGGAAAAATATTTACAATACTGGAATTCTTCTTTTGAAGTTTTAGGAGGATTAATATTTTGAATAATTAAACATTATTATATCTCCTTAAGAGTTTTGTGCCAACAAGTGCTTTGTCCCCTAGTGAATATTCAAATAAGTATAAAGTAATCAATAAGCTTTTTGCCTAATTGTGTTCTCAGTGAGTATTATTGCCCTATCTTTATATATAATGCAGTACTCATGAATGTAATTTAAGTGAAGAAACAAGGCAATAGCCAACCTAGCAATGATTTATGGAATCATTCTCTGCTCACAGTATAGTTTTGATTGACAATATTACTGAGCTTTGTAAATGAAATTGACTTATTACCCAGGAATGTTACTTGATCCTGTGGTTTGAACTTTTGACAGACTATGTATTTTACCTCATAATCTAATTTGGTTGCTGAAGTTATCAAAAACAGGAATTTTATTAAAAAGGAAGAAGGAAGAGAGGAATGAAAGAAGGAAAGAAAGAAAGAAGGAAACAGACAAACCAGTACTTCTTTAGTAAGAAATAACAATTAAATGCAGATACTGTTTGCACTTGATTGGGTGTACACAGCTCTCATGCTTTCTGGCAGGAAAAAGAAAAGGCTTTTTCCATTCTTTAAGGAATAAGAATCAGTAGGCACTGCCTCAGCTCTGCTTAGGGCTGAATCTGAGCAAAGCCCCGAGTTTTAGTATACATAATTAGAGCTTAGGGAAATAGCTCAACTGCCCAGATTCCTTCCTCCCCAGGACTACAACCCCTATCTGTGGCTCTGGGTTATTCATGTAGGGCAGTTAATGATAGAGATATTCCATCCATGCTTGGGGAGGAAATGAGCTTTCCTCTCCCAGTAATCTTCCGAGGTTGACGGTCAGTCTTGAAGATTACCCAGATTTCTTCTCTCAACCTCAGTTCTGCATTTGTGGAATTTACCCATTTGTGTAAAGAAAAAGTAAAATACAGAGATCTTGGTAAGACTGCACAGTCAACACAATGTAAAGTTGAAAAGACTGCCTGAAACAACAATATTTAAATTCCTAATAGTTAAATGTAAGGTGCTGTGTTCAAGGTGCTAAGAGGCACCTCATAAGAGACATCCTTCAGAATTTGGTAAATGAATGAACTGATGGTTACACCTGTCTGTGGTCTTTCCCACCAATGAGTTCTGCTATGTAGCTGGAAAAAAGGTATCCAGTCATTCAAGTTGCAGTGGAAAAGGGTGTGATTTTCAATAGTCTGCTCATGTCACTGTTTTCTAGATACCAAAGAGCTGTTTTGAAATTGTTTAAATTGCTTGGGTAGTAATTGCACTTTAGACAATTCGGGTATTGGAATGCAATCTGTTAAGTTGAATGATTTGAGTAAAAACCACGGATGAAGATTTCACAAATTATATGAAACTCACTTTCTGTTTGTCAACTATTTACTGATTTGCAGTGATCAGTATTTTTATGAGAATTTAAACTTGAAAAAGTGAGACAGCCCAGTGAAATAGGAATTAATTTTAGGGTATATTTTAATTTATATTTGCTTTTAAATTTATGCAAAGATCATAGGAAAGAATTGCCCATTTGACTAAGTTTTCCTTACAGAGACTATGTGGGAGATATATATGGCCTACAAACTGAAAAACCAAGGATTTATATACTATGTTTCATCCAAATACTATTTTATAAGGATATATCTATAAACTAAGAAAATCAGTGGTAAACTATGAGTCAGCATACAAATATTCACATAATATATACCTTTTGAAAGGTGCACCTGATGTTTAAAGCAACATAAACCTGCTCTAAAGCTGAATGTATTGGGGAGTCTAGGTGGCTCAGTTGGTTAAGTGTCTGCCTTCAGCTCAGGTCATGATCCCAGGGTCCTGGGATTGAGCCCCACATCGGGCTCCCTGCTCCTCAGGGAGCCTGCTTCTCTCTCCCTCTGCCTGCCGCTCCCCCTGCTTGTGCTCTCTCTCTCTGTCTCTGTCAAATAAATAAATAAAATCTTTAAAAAACTGAATATATTAATTTGAAATTATAAAGGAAGCTGAAGCTTAGATTCCATGATAGATTTAAAAGAATAACCAAGTATAGTTTTTCTCCTGTGGATTTATTTAAATTTAGTCAAACTGTGTATGGCATTTAACTTAGGACTTGGTAAAATATAGGGTCTCCCACTGGTGAAGAATCCTTCCTGAGAGCATAAAATATTTTTATGTGATAGTAAGCAGATATGATGAGGAAATGAGTTTGTAAGCATACAAACAAAATTATAGATGTTTCCATTTGAGCTAGAATAAATCCAATTTGTTTTTAAAAAATGATTGTGAAAACTGTAAGATGTGCTAATTATAATTAAGTTCTTATTGAAAATAACTTATTTTGGTATACCTAAATACCCTAAGCTTATTGAAAATAGCCTATTTTTTTTTAAAGATTTTTATTTATTTGACAGAGACACAGCGAGAGAGGGAACACAAGCAGGGGGAGTGGGAAGCAGACCTCCCGCTGAGCAGGGAGCCAGATATGGGGCTCGATTCCAGGACCCTGGGACCATGACCTGAGCCGAAGGCAGTCGCTTAACGACTGAGCCACCCAGGCGCCCCGAAAATAGCCTATTTTGATATACCTTAATACCCTAAGTTGACAGGCAACACTGACTGAATGTGCTCTTTTGTTGCCGTTGACAGTGTCTGTCGGTATGATTGTTTTTAAAAGCAACATGGCAGGATGGAGGAACAGTTATAAAGAGTCCCATATTCCTTGGCCCTGTATTTCCACCCTTAGGATATGATTCCAAGAAAACAATTCATTAAATGAAAAGGTTATTGTAACATTGTCTATCATAGCAAAACATTGAAACCACTTAAGTGGCCTCTGCTAGGGGATTGATTTGCTGAATTGCGGTACATCAACAAAGCATAACACTGTATAGTCATTAAAGTGTGAGACTGGAGAAACATGATTGCTCTGACCCAAATATCTTATATAGTATGAGTGCAACTCTATTTAAAATATATGAAAGATAATGCATAAAAATGAAAATATAAATGTGATTATGTTCAACTTCATATTTTTGTGAATTGCTGTTTTGACGCCTGTTTGGTTTTTTTTTTTTTTTTTGAGACAGAAAATAGCCGACTTTTTATATCCTATGAAATACATCAGGATTTTAGACCAGAAAATTTAAAGCAAGCACGAAGGATTTGGGGGGGCTGAATTGTTATATTTGTTTTATTAATAAGAAGTACGTGTTACTTTTATTTTAAGAATTACATGGATTATTTATCACGACTTTATGAGAGAGAAATTAAAGATTTCTTTGAAGTTGCAAAGATCAAGATGACTGGCACAACTAAAGAAAGCAAGAAGTTTGGTAAGCTTAGACACCTCAGTTCATTGTTTTTATTCTATTAAAAGTGGTTTTATTTATGACAAATAATTCTAAGACTTTTCAGAGCAAGGTGGAAGAAGATACAGTAGAATTAATGAAAAAGTAAGTCTGATGCGTTGGTTTGATTTATAGTTACTTTACAGAACAAATATTTGTATCTGTAAATATGGCTTTTACTAACATTCTGTAGTATATGAATCTGACAGCAATTGTGTATTCATGCCATAGTTGAAAGCATCTATTCATAGGAGAAGTAGCTGACCAGAAAATGAATTGCAGTCTGGTCGAGAAAGTACAAGGCTAAGAGACGTGTTGAGAGTTCAGTTTCCAACTTCCTAAAAGGCCTTTTTTAGCAGTTGGTGGCAAGTCATTGATCTCTTAAGTCATTGCTCTTTATAGGGAAATGAAAGTAATTCCTGGCTTCTTACTTCTCACTGGCTATTTTGAATCAAAAAGAAAGTTTGTGTTTCCTCCCGGGTCAAGGGGCTGTAAAAATGTCACCCAAATTTCTCCTGTGATTATACCTTATTTTTCCTAGGAGATATTTTTCAAGCATGCTAAAGTTGTTGCTTCTAAATATGTTAAGTGGACAGACAAATATGATTTGAAAAGATAACCAGTGAAAGTATCAAGTTGCGAGGAAGGTGATTTGCCGAGGCCACATTCTGCTCTTGCATGTACCCATCTCTGGAGTTCCTTTTTGGATGGAGTTCTGTGCCTATTCAAGTCAAAACCTGGCCTTAAATGGCTACAATGTGTACTCCCCAGTGTGTCTGCATAGTTCCCCTTTAGAATAATGAGTTTAGCATTTGCTTGTTGAAATGAGCCTATGCCCTAAGCAACTTCTGGTAATCAGGAAACAGGATTGAAATTGATAGCACATCTTCCCCTTCTTTTCCTTTAGGACAGAGAAGACTGTCTTTAGTGGGTAGTTATTTAGTAATTCACTGTTGTTGTTGTTGTTTTTTAATTCAACTCTAATAAATTGATTATACTAGTCCAGACTTTTGAAATGTTTTGAATCTGTGTACAAATATGTTACACTTAGGTAAAGATACTGATAAGAATCTTGGGACCATAGGCTTTTGGAAACAGAAATGCTAACTCATCCTAAAGGTTATTGTTCTTAAACAGCAGTGTGTTTATATCCTTGTTAATGTTTCACTGTGGGTATGTTATGCTTTTTTTTTAAGTAAGCAGCATATTAATTCAGTTACATGTTTAATGTTTTCATTTAGTATATTTGTCACCACTTGTTAGTGAACCATTGTATTTTGAGAGAACTCTTCTACAGTATATGAAAACTGGAGGCAAAAGGGAAATCTTTCTAAAATTATCTCCTCAGGAGGTCATTAATCCCAGTAGCATAAAAGTTTATCAAGCATAAGGTTCACATTGAGATAAATGACATAACAAAAATGTAATTTGAAATAAGTATAATAGTATCTTAATGGTATCATTGCATTAACCTGAAAATTAAATTTTTTCTTTTTCTTCCTCTTGGGAAGTTCTGAAATTATTTTGTTTAAAATATTTTTAAATTAGAAGTTTAGAAGGCACTTTTATAGTTTTAAAATAGCATTAAAATCATATTTATTCTTATGTATCAAATAGTAACAGGAGAGTAATTTGTAATGGTTGATGGCACCAGAAAATCATAGTTTCAGTTATTTTGATATCAGCTACAAGAGAAGAAAAACTAAATAATAAACAGAATTCAGAGGAAAAGTTAAATACAAATGACTTAAATTCTAAATAAGGTAGAATGGAAATTTTTTTAAATATCTTTTCAGTGATTCAAAATGTGTTTAAATCAGCTTTTAATAGTAATTATAATTAAAATAGAAACCTGAAATTTTGTAAAGATAACTTGTCCATGAATCAAAATGAAGTAATTATAAATAAAATTTAATTTTTTTTGTTTTTTACTTGCTCTGAAAATTCTGGGTCATAGATACTAATAAGAATAGAAAGTCAGATTGAATGTACTTTACAAAAGGAAATGTATAGTCAATATAGTCATAGAGATACAGGTGAATACTCTTCTTTTTGAAACACTTTTTTTTTTTTTTTAAAGATTTTATTTATTTATTTGACAGAGAGAGACACAGTGAGAGAGGGAACACAAGCAGGGGGAGTGGGAGAGGGAAAAGCAGGCTTCCCGCTGAGCAGGGAGCCTGATGCAGGGCTCAATCCCAGGACCCCGGGATCATGACCTGAGCCAAAAGCAGACGCTTAACAACTGAGCCACCCAGGTGCCCCTTTTTGAACCACTTTTGACTCAACTTTAACATCACTTTAATTCACATAATTCAGAATAATGTTAAAATACCAGCAAATATCTTTTCTTTGTGTTAAGGTCTTTACATAGGTAATTGCCTTTTTTAATTAATAGGTTTACTTTGATAAACTCAGAAGCATGGAATTTTCCCCTCAAGAATGATATTTTGGTGAGGTTTCTTCCCCTCGTGTTCTACAAATGTACTTAATGAAATGGCAGGCAAACGAAATTTAGAAATTATTTTTAAAATCACCAATTTTTTCTTTCTATAGCTGAAATAACACATACACACACATATTATTTTAGTCCCTTAACATACGCATTTATATAATTACTGCCTCCCTTGTATTTAATATTCCAAAATCTTAAAAGTGGTATGTCAAAATTATTTTTCATTCTATGTTTCTCCACTAAACTAAGAATCTTGTTGGTTCCTAGAAAATTCATTTAATAAATATTAATTACCTATTATATAATAAGCACTGCTAGGTACTGAGAATGCAGCAATAGCAAAGACCCTACCTCATGAAGTATACAGTCTAATGAGGATTATTTAAAGATATTGAAAAGGTTACCTGAAGGGGCACCTGGGTGGCTCAGTAGGTTAGGCATTCAACTCTTGATCTCAGTTCAGGTCTTAATCTCAGGGTCATGAGTTCAAGCCCCTACTTTAAAAAAAAAAAAAAAAAAGGTTATCTGAATATTGCTTGTTGCTGATAAATAATATAGGCTTTGATGAGCCCCAAATTATAATTAATTGGCACTACTAGTAACTCTGTATTCTTTATTGGGTACAAAAAAAAGAAAAAAAAGTGTATGAAGTGTCAGGCTTTGCTCTGAAACTGGTGAATTTAGTATAGTGACACCTTAAGGCCTCCAGAAGGTACTGTTCGGATTGGACAGCTAGGAGCTCCAGCATGATCCCTGCTTACCACTTTAATGTCTAGCCTTGGTGTTTCATACTCCCTTAAGCTTCATGTAGCTAGGGCTGCACAGATAGGCATATCCCTGGTATGACAAGTTAGTAGCTTTTACTTGGGTTTTGCCTTAAAGTTTGGTAGGGATAGTGACAGTTGATACATTGTTCTCTGTTTTTAAAATATTTCCAGGTTATAGTTATATTCTTTATTTTTCTCTTTAATTCTATAATTTCTTTCTTTGCCTTTCACATTAACTTCTAATTTGAGTTTAGAATGTTTCACAAGATCTCTATAATTGATCTAATAAATATTATAGAGAGAGAAGTTTTAGAATAAAAGAAATGCCAAATAACCCTAAAAGAGCTCAAATTCCTGTATTAAGTCTGTTCCTTTGGCTTTAGCCTCCTATCAACCCATCTCCTGATAATTAGTATTTTGATATATACTTTCCATTCTAGGTGTTCATAAAGCCAATTACTAAGTAGTTCAGCTTGATATTTTGAAATGAATTTAAAGCCCCGCTCATGTAATTTTTTATCATATATGGTATAACATTGTTCAGTACAATGGAGACTCCTCTCAGGAGTTTTCAGGGAGTGAGAATGTTGATGCGCTTAATGTTTAAGTCTACAACTTCATTCTAATAAATTTCCACTTTATTAAATTTTTACTTGACCATATGATCTCACTCATATGTGGAATTTAAGAAACAAAATGAACGAGCAAAGGAAAAAGAGAGAGAGACTAATCAAGAAACAGACACTTTAAAACTATAGAGAACAAACTGATGGTCACCAGAAAGCAGGGAGGGATGGGTTAAATAGGGGATGGGGATTAAAGAGTACACTTATTATGATCGAAATAAAATAAAATAAAATGACTTTTAAAAAATGTAAAAAACACTTTTACTTGAACTGTTTTTTTTTTCCAGAAACCAAAACTTACAAATGTAGTCTTTTAAATTTTAAGCACACTAGCTCCATAAACTTAAAAAAAAAAAATCATTTAGAAGTATTGGGGGAGGGGTTGACAAATATAGATATTTTTACTTGAATATTTGATTAAAAACAAAACATTAGACTAGTAAAGTTTTTTCTCTCAGAATTTGTCAAACAATAGCTGACCAACTAAACATATGTTGCACCTCTTGTTACTTGATGCTCATGGTTCTTTGCATGTGTCTTTTAAACTAGAGCTTTAACTTCCTCTTGTGCATGGTTTGTGCAAATTGCAGTTTATTAACTTGTCTTTGTCTTTGATGCTTGCAACCTAATCCATCACAGCTACACTGCCTCGAAAAGAAAGTGCTGTCAAACAGGAAACAGAGAGTGAGTATGCTTAGTGTATTAGTAGGTATTCTCAATGCATGTTTGTTTAATGTCTAGAAATTAGTTTTTGTCTTGAAAAAAGTTACACCAAAAAAGTTACACCAAAAATATTGATTGCTCTGAGTTGCCAGGTTCGATGAAAGAAAACCAACATCATGGTTGTGGTATGGCTACATTCAAGAAATGTAATTCAAAATCTATGGTGGGTAGTCAGAAATTTATGAAAAGGCTTAACCATTAAACTTCTTTTCAGGCTGTGTTTAGAAATTATAAAAATTCTTTTAAAAAAAGAAATTATGAAAATTCTTATAGATATGGTCAGATTTTGCATAATGAAACAAAAGTTCATCTTTAGTTGTCCTTATTATGTCTTCATCTGTCCCTTCTGACCATCAGCAAATAATATAGGTTAACTGAGAAATATTTTAGAAGATTAAAAAAATTATTTATTGTTTATATTTAATTCTGAATAAAAATGTTACATTTTCTTGTAAAAATGAAAGCCTTTAATTCCTTGATGGATGTAGAATATTGTCCAGCCACATTGTTCTCATTTTTCCTCAAAGATGTCCCATATTATATAGTTCATGATGTATGTATTATATTTTAGTTGTATTTTAAGTATAACAAGTTTTCAGGGTGGTTTTTTTCTCTTCATTTTGTATAGTTTTTAAAGAGCTGTAGTTAATCAGTTCACTTATTATAAAAGCAGAGTTTCTGCGTTCAGGAATGTTTTAAGTTGAATCATATGTAATTGACTTTTTGTAGGGCAAGAATGATCGAGTATTGGCAGATTTGTATGGTTTACCCCAATATTTTCATTTAATGTGGAGGCGAGTAATATTGGGATATGGCCATTTTCTTCAGAAATAAAAAAAAGTCATTAAAAAATAAAAAATAAAAAAGTCATGTTAGCTAGTACATTAAGGAGTCATTGGCCTTCATCCATATTTATGTCTTTTGAGTAGGAAGGAAATCTTCATCTACTTTAGTCTAGAAATATGGCAACTTTGGTGGTACTGGGCAGGGTATAGATTATGTGATCTTTAAGACCCCTTTCAGTCCTATTCTGTAGATTGTGGTTTCACTACTCTTTGTAATATGCTCAAGAATAGGACACAAATGTTAATGAGAGAGCAGGACACTCTACAACCCACCTCATGCAGTAGACTTGTGCGATAAGAGCACTGAAGATGAAGACAGTAGAAGACAGCCCTCATTTACTCTATGGGTCTTTGATTCATGAAGGTCACAACTGTCAAAGTTTTATTATTTCTTAGGTCTTCATGGAAGTTCTGGGAAATTAACTGGATCTACTTCTAGTCTAAATAAACTCAGCGTTCAAAGTTCAGGGAATCGCAGATCTCAGTCATCTTCTTTGTTGGATATGGGAAACATGTCTGCCTCTGATCTCGATGTTGCCGACAGGACCAAATTTGATAAGGTAAAATAATATAACAAGTATGTCTTAAACATTAACATTAGTTTTCTAATAGCAGTTTGTTATTGCTTTAAGTGTGTTCAAGGACTTGGGCTATGTTGGTTCTCTGAATTAACCATATTTTGAATTCTGAATTTGAAAAAAATACTAGTCAAATGGCAACTGAAGTCTGTATTATCAACTCATTGACATAACAGCTTTATTAAAATTCATTATAAATCATTAAGAGTTTGTATCTCTAAGTTCTTTGAGCCAACTACAAAGTAAAGAGGAAATAACAGCTTTTATGAAGCTAAACTGTTGTCTGCGATGCATTAAGTTTAAAAAGTTTGTCTCTGTGTTCCTCTTTCCAGATTTCAAGTGAATAATTATTGTGAGTTTTATTTTAGGTATGTCTGGCCCTGTTAAGCCTTGATACTTCTGCATCGTCCTATCAATCTTGGAATAGTTTCTTTTGGGATTCTATTAAGATTATACATAAAGCATCTATGATCTCTACAGAAAAGTGAATTAAATGTAGAAGATTTTTTTAAGCGTTTGGTGCAGTTCATTTTTGTTTTCTTCAGATCTTTGAACAGGTACTAAGTGAACTAGAGCCCTTGTGTCTGGCAGAACAGGACTTCATAAGTAAATTTTTCAAACTGCAGCAACATCAAAGTATGCCTGGAACCATGGTATGGCTCACATTTATTTATTGGCTAATATTGATAATCTGTAGGATAATTAGCCTAATTAATTGTCACACTTTCAGTCTCAGAACAGAAAAAGAAAAAAATTATGATGTAAGGATTTTTTTCAGTAATTTTTGTCATACCACAAGATAATAAAAACAGTGATAGTTGGAGTTGGAGCATCTTATTTAATACTCCAGATTGTCTTCGACCTAAATATCCTCTAACTTAGTGAGGGGGAAATGTCTGAATTTACTTTGTAAAAAATATTATTCAAAAAGAAATTTCAGCATTTTAGTAGTCACCAGGAAAAAATATAATTTTCAAAAGAAAAAAATATTTGAGTGTGTATACCATGGTCTAGCAAAAAAAAAAGAAAGAAACAAGCCCCAGATTTGTTACTAACTAGCTCTGAGACCTTAAATCCCCAGTTTTCCTCATCTGTACAGTGAATATAGTAATACCTGTTCAGCATGCCTCTCAGGTGGCATAAATGTAAGAAAATAAAATGAGAGGCTGCTGCAATATTTTGAAAAACTTAAAAGCACAATGCAAATAAAATCATTTTTAAATTAAGGTCATCTTGGGCGCCTGGCTGGCTCAGTTGGTAGAGTATGCGTCTCTTTATCTCGGGGCCATGAGTTTGAACCCCATGTTGGGCATAAAGTTTACTTGAAAAAAATAAGGTCATCTTAAAAAACAGAACCAACATAAGCAATCATAAAATGAATTTGTTGTTATAAGTGATAGTGATAGTAAATTTGCTTATTTGTTAGCCTAAGAATTTTTAATAGCATTTTTTAAATGCCAGAGTTTTATTTAAACATTGATGAAATTTCTTTAATTTTTGAAATTCTCTCTTAAAAGTTGTTTCTGGTTTTTTGAGCTGCCCTCCCCCATTCTCACACCCCCTCTGAACCTCCTGTACCTTCTCTGTCCCTGCTTTCCCCTTATGTGCATACACACAAGCACATCTTCTCAGCCCACAATAATTCTCAGATAAAATCTAAGAACAAAACATTTCATAACCATTCTTTTTTTTTTTTTTTTTTAAAGATTTTATTTATTTATTTGACAGAGACAGCGAGAGCAGGAACACAAGCAGGGGGAGAGGGAGAAGCAGACTCCCCGCCGAGCAGGGAGCCCGATGCGGGACTCGATCCCAGGACCTTGGGACCATGACCTGAGCCGAAGGCAGTCGCCCAACTAACTGAGCCACCCAGGCGCCCTTCATAACCATTCTTAAACAACATACTAAATTATGTAGTTTTATCAATAGTACTACCTTTAAAAATCATTATTTTTCATAATGTATTCTCTCCTAGGCATTTTAAGACTGAGCAGGCTTTTGCTGTATAAACTAGTCAAATTGTTGGTCTTTTATTATGTAAAGTACCTGAATAATTTTTGCAGACTGAAGCAGAGGACCTAGATGGAGGAACATTATCCCGGCAACATAATGCTGGCGTGCCACCGCCTGTCTCTTCTGAGTATGTGTTTGTTACTGTCATTTATCAGGTGTGGGGGGACTTTAAATTGAGCCTGAAGGAGTGTTGTTCAGTGAGCAGCCAGATGATTCTGGTAATGTGACAGCACTCAGAGCACTGACCTGTGTGCCCAGTGTCTTCTCAAACATCTTACTGAGTTAAAATTGGTCCTATTGTCTGACCTTTCCACTCTTTTTGGCTCTAGTAATCACAGAAAGGTGCAATCAGTTTTAATGTTTGCTGGTAAGAAGTAGCATTTGAATTGCAGGGTATTTCTCAGAAATTACAAAAGCACATTTCATGATCCAGCTTTACAAATGACATGAAGTTGTACTTTGAGTAATAAAACTTAACTTCAGAAAATATTTTTATGTTGGAAAAAAATATTTTTATGTTGGAAACTGCTGTAGAATCATTAGGTCATCATATTTGGACATTTTTCATTTAAAAATGTAAAATTTTAGTCATTTTGTATATTTGCAATGGATTAAAGTTAAAGATCAAGACAGGAAACCTGTAATAAATTCCTATACTTTCTATGTTTTCTGAACAGGAAAGATATGATCCGTCAGATGATGATTAAAATATTTCGCTGCATTGAGCCAGAACTGAACAACCTAATTGCATTAGGAGACAAAATTGATAGCTTTAACTCCCTCTACATGCTTGTCAAAATGAGTCATCATGTGTGGACCGCACAGAATGTGGACCCTGCTTCTTTTCTGAGTACTACATTAGGAAATGTTTTGGTGACTGTCAAAAGGAACTTTGACAAATGCATTGTAAGTTTTTTTTTTAATAAGAATTCTAATCATTGCAAAAAATAGGTAAATGTATTTATTTATTTATTTTTTAAATGTTTTATTTATTTATTCATGAGAGTGAGAGAGAGAGAGAGAGGGGCAGAGGCAGAGGGAGAAGCAGGCTCCCCGCCTAGCAAGGAGCCTGATGCGGGACTCGATCCCAGGACCCTGGGATCATGACCTGAGCCGAAGGCAGACGCTTAACCATCTGAGTCACCCAGGCACCCCAAAAAATAGGTAAATGTATTTAAATCAAGAGGTTTCCAGGTTTTCCCTTGAGTGATCTACTATTCACATCCCTCAAAGCCCCGAAGCCGAGTGTTGGCTGCAATTTATAGGCACAGAGTTAGCTGGATGCTACTATGCCAGCTAGTTTCCCTTCTATACTGCATGTGAATCTTGGCAAGTTCTGGAGTAAGTGCCATACAGGCAGCCCCTGCTTGAGAGATCCACTAGGTAACTGAAATCTCAGTTAACTGATGGGTGACCATAGATCACATAAAGCAATTGAAACTATCATTTGGATTTATTGTTGTTGTTCTTTTTAAAATATGTTCTGATAAGAAAATTAATAATTGGATTAGTTTAATTGATTCTTTAAATTATTTAATTAGGTTTATTAGTTTACTAGTTTAACAGCTTTAATTAATGATCATATTGTTTTATTTTAAGAATATAGTGTTCTTTGGGGCGCCTGGGTGATGCAGTTGGTTAAGTGTCTGACTCTTGGTCTCCGCCCAGGTTATGGATCATGAGATGGAGCCCCACATCGGGCTCTGTGCTCAGTGAGAGCCTGTTTGTCCCTCTCCCTCCCCCGTTGCCCCCCCCAAATAAATAAATGAATCTTTAAAAAATTCTTTAAAAAAAAAATAGAGAATATATTGTTCTTATGTTAACTTCCAGCAGTCATTATGTTCTTCCTTCTAATAGGAAAGAAAAATCATTAACAATTTTATTTTTGTCTGCTAGGTTTTGGTAAGCTTGTAGGTATGAATTGGGCTGGGCCAGGTTCTAAAATAAAAGCTTCATTTTATTAATGTAGTTAGCATGTCAACCATTTGAATATTTCTACTATGTAACTTCTAAGTTATATCCAGCTCTTGAATATCCATAAAATAATAGGAGATAAAAATATTAAGGGCAATTAAAATCCACATCATTTTTGTACTTGTGAAAAATAGTATTTATTGAGCTTTTAAAGTATAAAGGCAATCTCCGTTCACTATAGAAACTTAATGTTGCCTCAACAGGCTTGTTAATCCTCTTTCCTTGCCACATAACTTCACTTGGTATTTGAAATACTATGAAATTTGACCGCTTAAGGCTTACCCTCTTCCCTCTCCCACCTTCTCCCGCGGTGATGCTAAACCTAGAGGGTCTGCTGCAAGCTGAGAGCCAAAGAAAAAAGTAAGAGCTGCCAACAGCTAAGATAATGAGTCCTGTATGACATAGCAGGAACACTAAATCATGAGGACACTACATTTCCAGACTATGAAGGCTTTGTTGCTTTTATCAGTAAAATATAACTCTATGAAACACCTGTCAATCCAACAGAGCATAATTGTTAAAAGCATAGGATGTAGTGTCAGATAAATATAGATGTGGGTTCAGATGGAGTGCTTAGCACACTGCCTTGCACAGAAAAAAACCTTACTAACTGATGGCTCATAAGGGTGGTAGTAATTAATAATAGTTCATTAAACAATGTTCATGTTATTCTCAAGACAGAACAGTGGAAAAAGAAAGTAAAATGAACTTAGACAAAGGTGTAAACTCAGTATTTTCTCCTAAAATTGTATGTATTTCTGAAGGCTCTATCTTTTGTCACTAAAGGGACATCTCTCTGTCTCTTATTTTTAACTGATGTCTTCTCACAGTGTCTGGTGGATAGTGTGTACTCAGTACTTGTTATGTTTTGGTATTTGGGACAAGATTAGGACCTAAGGCATACCTTGAAAAGGTAATAAATGGGCCTGTTTGTCAGATGGCTGCAGAAAATGGAACCTGAGTTTGGCTCTTTCAGCTGGTGGCCAAGCTCAGAGTATCTGCTATTCTTGAAAGAACGGGACTAAGAAAGCTAGCCTAGCCTGAGCTAGAGCTAAAGTTAGGAAGTAAGTGACACATCAGGTACTACCACGCTGGGCTCTGCAGTCCCATACATTTCTTATCTGCACTTAATTTGCTTTTCAGGATTCTTCACACTATAGTGATAAGGATTTACGCTCTTAAACCTTTAAGAATGATACGATTTGGTTAAATTGCCATGGACAGAGGATGGATAAGTAATATAGTGATGTGTGCCTCACATCAAAGTTGTAGTTTTAGTCACTGAATAACCTCTGTGTCAAGCAATCAGCTGCAAATAATGTATACATTGAGCTTGAGAAAAAGTTTATTTCTATAAGATTTAATTCATTAATGGCTTTTTTGAGAGAGAGAGAGTGCACACGCACACATGCATGTGAGCTGAGGGGAAGGGGCAGAGGGAGAGGAAGAGAATCTTAGGCTCCACGCCCAGCACGAAGTCAGTGCAGGGCTCAGTCTCACAACCCTGAGATCATGACCTGAGCGGAAACTAAGAATCTGATGTTTAACCGACTGAGCCACCCAGGCGCCCCCAATGGCTCTTTTCTTAAATGAATGCATTGTTTCTCTTCTACCAGTTACAACGCCAGAAAAGATAACTGTCATTTAGAATATGCCCTGTTGGGATGCCTGGGTGGCTCAGTCGGTTAAGTGGCTGCCTTCGGCCCAGGTCATAATCCCAGGGTCCTGGGATCGAGTCCCACATCCGGCTCCTTGCTCAGCAAGGAGCCTGCTTCTCCCTCTCTCTCCCTCTGCTTGTGGTGCTCTCTGTCAAATAAATAAAAAATCTTTTAAAAAATCAATAAATAAAATAAAATATGTCCTGTTAATGTTTAAGTATATTCAGGCTATAATTATATCCTGTGCCTTTGTGTGCCACACTGAACAAAAATCTTCATGCAGCTTAATAACCACCATAGACCAGCATTCATAAATTAGTGTTTACTGTGTACCAGGCACAGGTCTAAGCACCTTGCACACATTATCTCATCTAATCTTCACGACCTCCTCCCGCCTCCATAAGGTAGACTCTCTGAGAGGTTATGTTACTTTGCCCGGGTCAATGGTAAAAAATGATGGAATTAGTATTCTTACCCGGACAGTCTGGTTCCAACACCTGCAGCCTTACGCTCCCCTCTCTACTGCATCCATTTTTACTTTTCACAATGATCAATACCGATGAAGTAAAATACAAGGATACCTCCAAGTTACTGCAGGCTCGGTTGGTCCAGGCTCCTGCAATAAAGCGAGTGTCACAATAAAGTGAGTTATTGGAATAAAGTGAATTCAGATGAATTTTTTGGTTTCCCAGTACATATAGAAGTTATGTCTATATTATACTGTAGTCTCTTAGTGTTCAGTAGCATTATATTTAAAAAACAATGTCCGTAACTTAATTTAAAAATACTATTGCTAAGAAATGCTAACCATCATCTGCACTTTCAGCGAGTTCTAATCTTTTTGCTGATGGAGGGTCTTGACTCCATGTTTATGGCTGCTGATGATCAGGGTGGTGGTTGCTATAGGTTGGGGTGGCTGTGGCCATTTCTTGAAATAAGACAACAGTGAAGTTTGCCCTGTTAATCAGCTCTTCTTTTCACAGTTTCTCTGTTTGATACTATTGTACCCACAGTAGAACTTCTTTCAAAATTGGAGACAGTCCTCTCAAACCCTGCCGCTGCTTTGTCATCTAAGTTTATGTAATATTCTTGATCTGTTGTCATTTCAACAGTCTTCACAGCATCTTCACCAGGCATCGGTTCCATCTCAAGAAACCACCTTCTTGACTCATCCATAAGAAGCAACTCCTCATCTATTAAAGTTTTATCATGAGATTGTAGCAATTCAGTCACATCTTCAGGCTCCACTCCTAATTCTAGTTCTCTCACCGTTTCTACCACATCCACATCTGCTACAGTTACTTCCTCCACTGAAGTCTTGAACCCCTCAAAGTCTTCCATGAGGGTTAGAATCCTGTTCATGTCTTACTTTTGTCCTCTTCCCATGAAGCACAAATGTTCCTAATGGCATGTAGAATGATGAATCCTTTCCAGAAGGTTTTCACTTTCTTTTGCCCAGATACATCAGAGGAATCACTATTTATGGCAGCTTAGCCTTACAAAATATTTTTCTTAAATAATAAGACTTGAAAGTTGAAATAAGTCCTTGGCCCATGGGCTACAGGATGGATGTTGTGTTAGCAAACACGTAAACAGCATTAATCTCATTGTCCTTGTCCATCTCCATCAGAGCTCTTAGGTGACTAGGTGCATTGTCAATGAGCAGTCATATTTTGAAAGGAATCTCTTCTTTTTTGGAATAGTAGGTCTCAACAGCGGGCTTAAAATAGTCAATAAATCATATTGTAAACAGATGAGCTGTCATCCATATTTTGTTCTATTTATAGAGCACAAGCAGAGTAAATTTAGCATAATTCTTAAGAGCCCTAGGATTTTTGGGATAGTAAATGAGCATTGGCTTCAACTTAAAGTCACCAGATGCATTAGCCCATAACAAGTGAGTCAGTCTGTCCCCTGAGGCTGTCCCCTGAAGCCAGGCATTGCTATCTCTAGCTAGGAAAGCCCTAGATGGCATCTTCTTCCAATAGAAAGCTGTTTTGTCTACACTGAAAATCTGTTGTTTAGTATGGCCACCTGTATGAATGATCTTAGTTGGATCTTCTGGGGGAACTTGCTACAGCTTCTCCATCAGCACTTGCTGCTTCACCTTGCACTTTATGTTATGGAGACGGCTTCTTTCCTTAAACCTCATGAACCAACAGGTTGGTAGCTTCACACTTCTGCACCTTCCTCACCTCTCTCAGCCTTCACAGAATAAAAGTTAGGGCCTTGCTCTGGATTAGGCTTTGGCTTAAGGGAATGTTGTGGCTGGTTTGATCTTCTATCCTGACCACTAAAACTTTCTCCATATCAGCAAGAAGGCTATTCTGCTTTCTTACCGTTTGTGTGTTCACTGGAGTAGTACTTTTAATTTCCTTAAAAAAAAACTTTTCCCGTGCATTCACAACTTGACTGTTTAGCACAAGAGGCCTAGCTTTCGGCCTGTCAGCTTTTCACACGCCTTCCTCACTAAACTTAATCATTTTTAGCTATTGATTTAAAGTGAGAGACATGAGACCCTTCCTTTCACTTGAACATTTAATTGGCCACATGTCCATATTGTGTCTCAGGGAATAAAACTGTGTCTGGACTTAAGGAGAGGGAGAGAGAGAGGGGAATGGCTGGTTGATGGAGCAGTCAGAACACACACATTTATTGATTAAGTTTGCCATCTTTTATGGGCATGGTTTGTGGCACCCCAAACGAAAGATCACTGATCACAGATCACCATAACAAATATAAGAATAATGAAAAAGTTTGAAATATTGCCAAACAGTTACCACAGTGTGACACAGAGGCGTGAAATGAGCAAATGCTGTTGGAAAAATAGTACTGACAGACTTCCCAATACAGGGTTGCCACAGACCTTCGATTTGTTTAAAAAAAAAAAAAAAAAATGCAGTATCTGTGAAGTGCAGTAAAGCAAAGTACAATAAAATGGGTATGCTGTAGCAGTAAAGATAATATCAAGTGGTTGACAGTATTCCAGGACTTTCTAATAATAATGCCTATAGCCTACAAAGAATACTTTTCTAAGCCACATGTCCTAGGATTTTCAAGTTATGCCCCCAAAAGCATTTATGAAATTTTAGGTAGAAGTAAAAATGTCTAACAGTATTTGGCAGTGTAATTCTTATCTAGATCCTCTGAGAAGTACACAGAACCATAATTGAATTCATGGATCTTTTTGAACCCAAATATCTAGGTTTTGTCTATATGAGACATCCCTTTTGTACTTTGTCACCGTCATACACAAGCACTTTGCTGAAATAAATAGAGAAAAAATAGGATAAGTAACTAATAGATACATGGCAAACCTATGTAGTGTAAATCCATTGTAGAAATGCCTGTTCTCCCTCTCTGTTCTCATATCCAGAAATGAAAGAACTGGTCTATCCAAACACAAATTTTAGGCTAATGAGAATTGGAAATGACTATGATTCTCAAACTTGGCCACATGGCCACCAACTAAAAATAACCTAGAGAAATCCTGTACCTGCCCTGGTTATCTCCTCTGCCCCAAAATGAGCAATCACCTTATACTTACCTTTCATGAATGATAGAATTGTTTAGTGCTTGTTTTCACTTTGAACAAAAACTTGAGCTTCACAAAGCTCAAGTTTGATTGTATCTTGTTTTAAATAATATGTACTTTTTAATCTATAAAAGTAGTGTTTCTTGGTTATCCCTGTTGTATTAATCTGTAATTAGTAAACATCCAAAATGTTCTAGGTACTAAATTATGTCCTTCCCCTATAATATATACGTTTGCTTATGATTATATGTTGTTTCTAATGTGCTTGGCTATTTCTCTCACTTGCTTTCTGCCTAACTGTAGAGTAACCAAATAAGGCAAATGGAAGAAGTAAAAATCTCAAAGAAGAGTAAAGTAGGAATTCTTCCATTTGTTGCTGAATTTGAAGAATTTGCTGGACTCGCAGAATCGATCTTTAAAAATGCTGAACGTCGTGGAGATCTAGATAAAGCATATACTAAACTTATCAGAGGAGTATTTGTTAATGGTAAGCTTTGTTATGTACTAAAGAATTTTTTGGTTGGTTGTTTTCACTATTTATGGTCATTTAAGTTATTTTCCATATTCTATAGTCTTACTTAAGTTTTCTGAAAGTAGGTATTTCTTGAACTTTACTTTGAATTAACTATAGCTATGAATGTACTATTTCTAACTTGTGCTCATAATAATTCATTTCCTTGTTTATTCAGGAGGTGTAGTCTGCTGTAAGATTGATCAAACCGTAAAATTCATCACAGTGAACAGTTCTGTAAATAGAAGAAAATGGAGGGGGGACAGTTAATAAGAGTATAATAGACTAAGTACTTGGTTACTGATGAAGCCTGTAGTAATGTGCCTCTCCTTAGGGTATCAGCCTAAGAATGGTGATTTCTCCACTTATTCTCAGTATCCCTCTGCCTGAAAAATCATATTGTTCTTTATCAAGGGGTACACAATTTATCAAAATACTCTAGAAACAAATAAAACTATTGCTCATTCTATATCACAGTAGAATCATTCTGGATCCTGGTCACTACCCATCACAGTCCCTGTGCTCTAGAAGGATTAGGCAGATGACTATAGTAGTTGGACCAACCAGACTCTCCGTCTCTGCCAGGGATCTGAATCTTGAAGAGAGTGACACTTGAGTGAAATGAAGGCCCTTGGAGTTAAAATATTCCAATGATCGGGGCGCCTGGGTGGCTCAGTTGTTTAAGTGACTGCCTTCGGCTCAGGTCATGATCCTGGAGTCCCTGTATCGAGTCCCGCATCGGGCTCCCTGCTCGGCAGGGAGCGTGCTTCTCCCTCTGGCCCTTCCCCCTCTCATGTGCTTTCTCTCTCTCTCATTCTCTCTCTCAAATGGGTTTTATGTACTGCTTATCTTTTCAGCAGTACATAAAACCCATTCATATTCATCAGGAACCACTTCTATTTTAGTTCATATGGGATTATCACTATGCAAAATTGGAATTCCTTTTTTAATCACAAAAAAAACAACCTTTTTAAAAAATCTAAAAATGGAATTTTACATTTGCATTTTAGCAAGAGTCTTCGGGAGATGATAGGCAGTATAACATGAAGCAAATCAATTTACCTCTTTAGGCCTCAGTTTTCATATCTGTCACATAAGGTAGGGTAATGCTAAACTACTGTCTTCCTGTGGCAGATCCCACAATTAAGTTACAGAAACTGTATGATGTGCCATTTAACTTGAAATAAATGATCTGATTGCATATATTCAGGAACTTTAAAAGCTGAAACAATTGACAGGAAGTGGAATCATCTTACCAATTACATATGACATTTTCGGTGGAAGCATGTCTAGGGGAAAGATAGATAAATTACATGATTGAATGTTTGTATGGTAGATATTTCTTTTTTTTTTTTTATTTTTAAAGATTTTATTTATTTATTTGAGAATGAGAGAGAGCACATGAGAGGGGGGAGGGTCAGAGGGAGAAGCAGACTCCCTGCCAAGCAGGGAGCCCGATGCGGGACTCGATCGAGGGACTCCAGGATCATGACCTGAGCCAAAGGCAGTCACTTAACCAACTGAGCCACCCAGGCACCCCTGGTAGATATTTCTTTTAAAATTCAAAGTAACTTTGGGGCGCCTAGGTGGCTCAGTTGATTAAGCATCCAACACTTGGTCTCAGCTCAGCTCAGGTCTTCATCTCAGGGTCATGAGTTCAAACCCCAGGTTGGGCTCCACTCTGGGTATGGAGCCTAGTTAAAAAAAAAAAAAATTTAAATTCAAAGTAGCTTTGCTTTGTCTGACTGTAAAGTAATATATGCTCATTATACACCCCCAAAAATCAAAAAACAGATTTTAAAAATCAAGAAAAAAACAAAAATAATTTGTAGTTTCATCAGGAAAGATAACATTTAATTTTTATCCATCCAAATTTTTCAGTATTTCTCCTTCATATATATGTGCATATTGTGTGTGTATGTGTGTGTGTGTGTGTGTGTGTTCTTGAATGTAAAAGTTTTATCATACCTTACACTCTGTTTTGGAACATGCTACTCTATAAATTTTAATGCCTCTCCTTGTCAATTTATATTATAACTGTAATCATTTTTAATGATGGCATAGTATTCCATGTATCATTATTTATTAAATCTCCTATTAATAGGCATTTAGTTTGTTTCCAGTTTTTTGCATATATTTTTGTATTCTTGTCCAATAGTTTCCTTGGGGTAAATTACTGGAAATGGAATTACAAGGTCAAAAGGTTTACATATATCTCAAGGCCTTTGCCAAACTGCCTTAGAGAAAGGTTATACCAGTTTAGTGTTCTGAGCAGTTGGTGAAAGTTTTCATCACATCTCATTAATGCTGAATATCAGTCTTTTTTTTTTTTTTTTTTAAGAGAGAGAGAGTGAGAGCAGGAACACAAGCAGGGGGAGTGGGAGAGGGAGAAGCAGGCTTCCCGCCAAGCAGGGAGCCTGATGTGGAGCTCAATCCCAGGACCCTGGGATCATGACCTGAGCCGAAGGCAGATGTTTAATGACTGAGCCACCCAGGCGCCACTGAATATCAGTCTTTTTATTCTTTGTCAACTTAATAGACTTAAATTGATTTTATTTATGGTTTTTTTTTTTTTTTTTTTTTTTACTATGCAAGAGCTTTGAAATTTCATGTCAGATTTATCCATCTCTCCCTTTATGATTTTTGGACCATCTGTAAAAAAGTCATGCTATCACAAAATTATTTTGTTTAAAGATTTTATTTATTTATTTATTTATTTATTTATTTGACACAGAGAGAGAGAGCACAAGCAGGGGGAGCTGGAGGCAGAGGGAGAAGCAGGCTCCCTGCTCAGCAGGGAGGACTTGATCTCAGGACCCTGGGATCATGACCTGAGCCAAAGGCAGATGCTTAACCAATTGAGTCACCAAGGCATCCCAAAATTATTTTTTTAATTAGTTTTATTTTCCTTAGTACTTGTGATTATATTTGTTTGCTTTTTACATTTTTAAGTACTTGAGCGATTTAGAATTTGTTTGGCTGAAAATGGGAAATAGGAATCCAGATTTATTAGTGTATTCAAAAGGACCAGGTGGTTGTCCTAACACATTCTGAATAATTCATCATTTCCCCCACTGATTTGAAAAGCCACCTTTATTATATACTACATTTCCATATATATATATATATGACTATTTTAGAGTGATTTTTTTATTAGGGCTAGGTGGATATGAAGACCCTTCAGAATATCTTAAGTCCAGAAACGTGCTTACTTCTTAAACTTACAAATGAAAAAAATCACATAAATATTTTTATAGCTAAATATGGTAATACTCATGTCAGGATGTTATTATGTTTTTTCTTTTTTTATTTTAGTGGAGAAAGTAGCAAATGAAAGCCAGAAGACCCCCAGGGATGTAGTTATGATGGAAAATTTTCACCATATTTTTGCAACACTTTCTCGTTTGAAAATCTCATGTCTAGAAACTGAAAAAAAAGAAGCCAAACAAAAATACACAGATCACCTTCAGTCTTATGTCATTTACTCTTTAGGGCAACCTCTTGAAAAACTAAATGTAAGTATATATTCATTCAGTAGTATTTTCCTGATTTTGAACCTCTATACATATATTTACATATGAAAAACATAAGACATTCATCCTAAGTTTGCTCATGTATTGATGCAAAGGTTAATGAAGGGGAGGGACCCAGTTATCAAAGGTTCCAGTGTACTAAGATACTGGTAGATGCTCTGTATGTTCTTATTTTAATTGCTGTAAACAATGATGTGGGCTGAGGTAGTGTCAACCCATTTTACAGATGAAGAAACTGAAAGTAAACTTGCTTGAAGTTACAGTAACTGGCAAGTAGCAAAGCTGGTTGATGAACCCTAGATTAGGCTTTTCCATTATACCACACTCTCTTATTTCATACCTCACAAATGGCTGACCTTTAACCTTAGTTCAGATGAAGATTTCAAAAACTTTATCAAGATAAAAGGAAAACCAAAAATTGTTTTTTTCATTGCCTTTTTCTTTCCCTTCCTTTCCTGAACTGAGTCATTCCCCACAGCATATTTGATCATTAAAATTAAGAAAGGATGGTTTTGGGGCACCTGGGTGGCTCAGTCGGTTGAGCCTCTGACTCTTGGTATCAGCTCAGGTCATGATCTCAGGGGTTGTGAGGTCAAGCCTCGCATCAGGCTCTGCACTCAGCAGGAGTCTGCTTGAGGATTCTCTCCCTCTGCCCCTCCCTCCGCTTGCATGCTGTCTAAATAAATAAATATATAAATATATTTTTTAAAAGATTTTATTTATCTATCTGCTGTCAACAACAAATACTTAAAATATATTTAATCAAGTACAGAACCAATTCCTTCTAAAACTTAAGAACAGATATTCCTTTAGGGTAAAAGGTCTGTCTTAGACCTAAATCCTATGTGATACTTAACTGCAACATCAGAGGCATTCCCTGTGAAATCAAATTTAAAGCAGAAACATTGCTACATCCTTTAATATTTAACATTGTTATGGAAGCTCTAGCCAATGCAATAAGACCTGAAACATAAATAAAAGATATAGAAAGAAGAGTTAACGGGGCATCTGGGTGGCTCAGTCAGTTAAGCATCTGACTCTTGATTTCAGCTCAAGTCATGAGCTCAGGGTAATGAGCTCAAGTGCCCGCATCAGGTTCTATGCTGAGAGTAGAGCCTACTTAAGATTCTCTCACCCTCCCCACCCTGCTCACATGCACTCTTTCCCTCTCTCTCTCTAAAGAAAAAGAGAGTCAAGATTATAATTACCTGTATATAATACATTGAAATTACTGATCCATGAAAATGTAGCAGGATTCAAAATAAATATATAAAAAAACAATTTATTTTCTGTGTGTCATAATCAATTAAAAGTTTATGTAGAAACAAAAATTTAAAAGCACCAGGAATAGACTTGTCAAAACAATTATTAGCAAAAACATAGTAATAATAATAATAATTTAATGAAGAACAAACAAATAGTAATTGCCAAGAAAATTTTAGAGAAAAATAATGAGAAGGGGATTGGCTTTTCAGTATTAGATCATATTGTATAGTGCTCAAATACAGGCATGCCAATCAATAAAACTACATATTTAAGAAACATATATTTCAAAGACAACCTGAGATGAATATTTATAACAATCCAGTAGTCAGTAATATAAAATATAAAATACCTTTTTAAAATCAATAAGAAAAGCAGTAGTATCCCAATGTATAAATGGGCAAGGGTTCTGAATATACTGTGAAACATATGAAAGCAGGCTAACTTCATTTATAGCCAAAGAATTGTGAAATAAAAAAACAAATCTTTTTCACTCATCAAAATGCAATGATTTCTTTAAGTTGTGATAATGCTGATGATAATATGGTAAATAGCAGTCTCATGTACTGTTAACAGAAATAGAAATTGATTGAACTTTCCTGGGAAGCAATTTATGTGTATGAAGAATCTTCAGAATACTTACCATTATTCTCCTCAACTGAGGAATTGTAGTCATAGAAATTTGTGCTGAAAAGTAATCAGTAATGTGGGTAAATAGTTATGTATGAAAGATACTTGTGACAATTGTGTTTATAATAAATTTCTTTTAATCTGAGTAGATTTTATCAACTTAAAAAAAAAGTGAAAAATGTTAAATATCCAATACTGGAGGAATGAATGTATAAATTATAGTTCAGTCATTAGATGGAATATTATGCAGCCATTAAAATTTATACTTTGGAAAAAAATATAAATATTACGTAGAAAATACAGCATGTGGGGCGCCTGGGTGGCTCAGTTGGTTAAGAGACTGCCTTCGGCACAGGTCATGATCCTGGAGTCCCAGGATCGAGTCCCGCATCAGGCTCCCTGCAGGGAGTCTGCTTCTCCCTCTGACCCTTCCCCCTCTCATGCTCTCTCGCTCTATCTCATTCTCTCTCTCAAATAAATAAAATCTTTAAAAATAAATAGATAAATAAATAAAATACAGCATGCAATATTATAATCTCACTTATGTACTCACATCAAAAGACGAGAAGGAGGGGCGCCTGGCTTGCTCAGTCGGTGGAGCATATAACTCTTAATCTCAGGGTTGTGAGTTCAAGCCCCACTTTGGGTATAAAGACTACTTAAAAAATAGAATCTTTAAAAAAAAAAGAAGACTAGAAGGAAATCTAAAATGTTAACACAGTGAATAAATTTCACTGTTTTATAAGCAGGGTTTTTTAAATTTGATAATAAAAGCAGTGCTTAGCCATTATTAATTTTTTTTTACATTTTTATTTTTATTTTAGTTTCTTTTTTTTTTTCTTTTTGTAGTTTCAAGTTTTTATTTAAATTCCAGTTAACATACAGTGTGATATTAGTTTCAGGTATAGAATTTAGTGATGCATTACTTACATACAACACCCAGTGTTTATCACAGCAAATGCCCTCCTTAATACCCATCACCCCTTGAGCCCATCCCCCCACGCACCTCCCTTCTAGCAACCCTCAGTATGTTCTTTGTAATTAAGAGTCTCTTATGGTAGGACACCTGCACAGCTCAGTCGGTTAGGCATCTGCTTTTGGCTCAGGTCATGATCCTGGGACCCTGGGATCAAGCCCCACATTGTACCCCCTGCTCAGTGGGGAGCCTGCTTCTCGCTCTCCCTCTGCCTGCTATTCCCCCTGCTTGTGTACTCTCTCTCTCGCTCTCTGTCAAATAAATAAAATCTTTAAAGAAAATAGTCTCTTATGGTTTGCCTCTCTTTTCGCCCCTTCTGTTCATTTCTTAAATTCCACAGGAGTGAACTTATATGGTATTTGTCTTTCTCTGACTTATTTCGCTTAGCATAATACTCTCTAGCTTCATCCACACTCTTGCAATGGCAAGATTTCTTTTTTTGATGACTGCATAATTGTATATGTATTCCACATCTTTTTTCATTTCCTTGAAGCATTTCTTTGAAGGCGTTGAAGCTCGAGTAGCACAGGGTATAAGAGAGGAGGAAGTAAGCTATCAACTTGCATTTAACAAACAAGAACTTCGTAAAGTCATTAAAGAGTATCCTGGAAAGGAAGTGAAAAAAGGTCTAGATAACCTCTACAAGAAGGTTGATAAACATTTATGTGAAGAGGAAAACTTACTTCAGGTATGCTTCGTTCTGTTAACCATCCTAGATTGCACATCTTAAAATGTTTTGCTTTTCTCCAAACAAGTCCTCTAGAAAGGCTACAGATTTTCTAATTTTAGTGCAGGAGGAAATTTCCATAAAGTGCCATAAAGTACAGACCAGACTAATGAGTTGTGAGGAAGAAAGGAATAATATTTATAATATGTTTATATGGCTATTCCTAATTATTTTATATTTCTACTGTATTGTTTTGAGGCATTAGTTGTTTTTCTTTTGTTTGGGGGTGGGGCAGAGTTTTTTTAGGCTTTTTGTTTGTTTTTTAGATTTGAGGGAGTAACTAAATTGAATAGAGTATAGTACAGTGGAGTAATTCTGAGCATGGGAGCCAGAGTTAGAAATGGGTTCATAATCTGGCTCAAGATTAAGCTGCATGACTTTGGGCAAGTCACTTAACCTCTCTGAGCCTCAGCTTTCTTATTTGAAAAGTGGAAATAATACCTCTGTCATAGAGTGGACACTACTATTATTGTCATTGACATTTTATAGGTAAGAAAATCAGAGCTTAGAGAGGTGGAGGAACATGACCAAGATCCCACAGTGAATGGATGGTAGAGCCAGATTTAAACCCCAAATTGGGCCATTTTTCTTTATGAACCATACTGAAAGGCCCAGAGATGAGGGAGAATAATTGACTTCAACATCATCAAAGCCTTTATTGCATTTGTGTTTGCCTCTGAAAGTCAGATAGTTACAGATAAAGTGAGAGGAGTCGCAGGTGGAAGAAACACCATGAGCTAAAAGATGTAAAGCAAAAAGTGTAATACTGTTTAGTACGTAGACTTAAGGTGACAGGAATTTAGGATTTATGAGATTGAGGGTTTACAAGGAAAAATCCTGGAAGAATACATTCCCTTATCTGTTGGGTAGTGATGACGGTCATAGCACCCACCCTCACCAGGTAGTCATGAGACTTAAATAGAATAATACGTATGTAAAGTACTTTGTACTGTGCTGAGACAGAGTAAGCATCAATAAATGTCACCTGTTAGTATTAGCTAATATGTCAGTGTATATATCAGATTCTGCCTTGATAGTTATCTACATAGTAGTTTCCACTGCTAAATCATAAATCACTGGATTATATATAATCTATCTCATTTTAGTATCCCTTATGGCATCAAGCAATGTTTTGTATCATCAATTTTAGATAAATGTTTAAACTTTCATCTGGAATGAAATTTAAGCAGTAAGTGTTGCATTTCATCTAATTACTAGTCTTAGTTCCATGTATAATTGTGCATGTACACATCTCTATTGGATATTGTAGTAGCTATAATAATAGCTAAAATGTAATGAGTGCATACCGTGTCAAACACTGTTCTAAGCACTTTATATACATGCACTCATTTAATCCTCACAAGAAACTTATGAGGAAGGTATTATTGTTACTACCCTGGTTTACAGATGAGGAACTTGAGGCCTAGAGCAGTGATGTAACATACTCAAGGTCACATATCTTGTAAGTAGAAGGAGCAAAGATGCATGTTCTTAACCATTACACTCTGCTAAAATCTTAGAATTTATCTTGACATTATTTCTACGTACTTGATTATATATTTCCTTTCATAATTTAATGACTTGTATCTTCATTTTTATAATAGGTGGTGTGGCACTCTATGCAAGATGAATTTATACGCCAATACAAGCACTTTGAAGGTTTGATAGCTCGCTGTTATCCTGGGTCTGGTGTTACAATGGAATTCACTATTCAGGACATTCTAGATTATTGTTCCAGCATTGCACAGTCCCACTAAAAAAGAAGAGATAAATGAAAGAAGTGTCTACTATTTTATTTATATATATATGGGAAAAGAAAAAGATTTAGGTGCTAGGGAGCCCCTGTTGCTTTACGTCAACAGACTGGGTAGGAGGAATGGTTATATACAACTTGCCTTATCTGTGTGATTAATAACACGAGACCTACCTGTTGCAGGTGGTCACTTGGCCCTATGTGCTAACAGAGGCATGTGAAAGGAAGAACAGCAAATTAAGTGTCCCAGAAAGTGACAAAACCATACTTTTGACAAGTTTATTTAATCCATTGTGGTAGAAAAGGTACAACTCCAATAAATGTATCATTAAATGTTTAAAAATTAAAAAAAACTTCTGAAGAAAAGATAAATGAAAAAAGCACTCTGAGTACACCAGACATTATTCAAAATTATCAAGTAACTGTTTTGAGAACCCAGACTTAGAACTTTATGTATTATTAAATGTCAGATAAATGGGTAATACCATACTACAAATATTCAAGAGCAAAAGTACCAATTTATGTAGCAGTTTTATTTGCCCAATAGGTTGTGTACTAACTTAAAACATTTGTCTCATCACAAAATGCCTTTAGCATTTTTCTGTGACTGAACAGAAAGTTTTCTTTTATTGCCTACTTTCTTGTATTTGTCAGTGGTTGTCCTGTGTGTAAGGCATCAGGAGTTCTTCATTTTTCACTAACTCACTATTGCCTACAAATCATGGAACTACTAAAATAATTGTACAGAATTTTTTTCCCCTCTGTCTAACTAATGTGTATATGGATAAGGGATCTTGTGATGTTCAGTTGTAAACTTAGATTCTGAGAATTATGTGACTGTGTGGCAGTGAATCTGAAATAAAGAAATTTTCAAAAAAATTTTTTTCGGAAAAGTTAAAATTTGATATTCTTAGATCTGTTCTATGCTATTTTTTTATAAAAGCAAATTCTTACAAAATCAGTATACAAAAATTAATTACATGTTCATTTACCACAAAACACTTAAAAGTGTAATAAGAAAAATAATAATAGCATCAAAAATATTTAGTATTTAGGACTAAATCTCACAGAACACTGTACTATGGACTGAATTGTGCCTTCTCAAAATTCATACGTGGAACCCCTAACCCCCCCCAACAGTGTGACTGTATTAGAGAGAAGGCCTTTAAGGGGGTGATTAAGGTTAAGTGAGGTGATAAGGATAGAGCTGTGATCCAACAGAACTGGTGCTCTTCTAAGAAGACACCAGAGCTCTTTGTCTGCCATGTGAGGACACAGCAAAAAGGCAGCCATTTGCAGACCAGAAAGAGAGCTCACTAGAATCCAACCATGTGGCACCCTGATCTTGGACTTCCAGCCTCCAAAACTGAGAAAATAAATTTCTGTTAGCTAGCCCACTCAATCTATGATATTTTATTATGGCAGCCTGAGCTAAAAATACAAGATGTATAAGACCTTTAGGAAGAAAATTATAAAACTATTGAAAGATAATAAAGAAGGCCTAAATAAGTGGAGGACTATTTCATGCGCCCAGATAAGAACACGTAACAGTAGAAATGACAGTTATTCTCAGATTTAAAGATTCAGTACAGATTTCCAATTTCCAGTCCTATCCATAAGAAACTTAAGTCACCTCTCCATTCTAACAAGTGAAAAGCTGAACAAACTGAAAAATCAACTCTTCTTAGATCTGTAAGAGCAGTGAGGTCACAGGGCAAACGACTGCCACAATCAGAGAGACCCAACAGGAGAATACAGATTATCATGACTTACTGGACCAGAAACCCCCAAGCTGAAACATCCTCAGGAACCAGTGTCCAGGTAGGGAAAACTGAACTGTAATTGACAAATTGACAAATGGCTTGAGGCTGAGTGTGGGTTAAGTCTGAGAAATAACTCCTAGTCAATGGGAGTCCCTCAAATATTTGTGAGTTTTACCTCCTGTAGTTCTACCAGTGAATGTCAGAGAAAAATCCCCTTGTGCTTCTGGCAGGGGGATGAAGAAAGGATCCATTTGGAAATACGGCAGAGTATTCTGCTCCTGACAAATTGTGTTCTCAGGAGAAACATTTAACCAGAGCTTAAGTGACCTAGGAGAAGGGAAGTACCCAGCTCCAGCTGGCTCTAGCCTTACACATGGAGGAAGAGAAATACCCAACTTCAGTCCATTCTATGTCATCTTTTCCCACATAAAGGGGGGGAGGAGGACTGAAAAACACAGGTAAAGTTGTGCCTGGAGGTACAGGCTCAGTAAAAGACCTATTCATAGGACTATATAACATTTCCTCTCCCCCAACACCCCACCCCCACATTACTAATGGCCTATTTACAGCAGTTCCTTTTACCTAGCACATCACATCTGGCTATCAAGGAAAAAAATTACAAGACATATTAAAAGCAAAAAAACAGAATTTAAAGGGACAAGCATCAGAACAAGACTCAGATATGACAGGGTTTGGGGAATTATCAGAGCAGCAGTTTAAAATAACTATAATTAATATGGTCAGTGCTCTCATGGATAAAGTAGAACACATGCAAGAACAGATGGGCAACGTAAGCAGAGACAGAAATTCTTTAAAGAAAACCCAAAGGAAATCATAGTGATCAAAACACTGTAACAGAAATGAAGAATGCCCTTGATGAGCTGCTTAGTAGATGGGACACAGCCAAGGGAGGAATCTCTGAGCTCGAGGATATCTCAAAAGAAAACTCCAAAACCAAAAAGTAAAGAGAACAAAGACTAGAAGGGGAAAAAAACAAAAAACAACAGAATATCTAAGGCCTGGGACAACTACAAAAGGTATAACATGCATGTAATGGGAATACCAGAAGGAGAAGAGAGAAAGGAACAGAAGAAATATTTGAAAAAAATAATGATTGAGAAATTCCCTGAGTTTGTGTCCAACACCAGACCACAGATCCAGGAAGCTGTTCCAAAAAACAAGCAGACTGAATGCCCAAAAAACCACACCTACATGTATCATTTTCAAGCCTCAGAAAATGAAAGGTTAAAAAAAAAATCCTGAAAGAAGCCAGAGTAAAAAAAAGTCTTCACTTCTAGAAGAACAAGGATAAGAATTACATTCAACTTCTCAGAAACCAGTCAAGCAAGAAGAGAGTGGAGTGAAATATTTAAATTATTGAGAGGGAAAAAAACCCACCCACCTAGAATGCTATACCCTGTGAAATTATCCTTCAAAAGTGAGGACAGATAAAGAGTTTCTCAGATGAGCAAAAATTGAGGGAATTTGTTGCCAGTAGACTTGCCTTAAAGCAAATATTAAAAGAACTTATTGGGGTGCCTGGGTGGCTCAGTCAGATAAGCATCCAACTCTTGATTTCGGCTCAGGTCATGATCTCGGGGTCATGAGATTTGAGCCCCAAGTTGGGCTCTGCACTCAGCAGGGCGTCTGCTTGAGATTCTCTCCCTCTGCCCCTCCCCCCCCCCTCATGTGCTCACTCTCTGTCACTCTCTCTCAGATAAATAAATCTTAAAAAAAAAAAAAAAAACTTTGAAGAGAGGGAAAAATAAAATGAGATGAAACCAGAGAGGGAGACAAACCATAAGAAACTCTTAATCATAGGAAACAAACTGAAGGTTGCTGGATGGGAGAGAGGTGGGAGGATGGGGTAATTGGGTGATGAACATGAAGGAGAGTACATGATATAATGAGTACTGGGTATTACATAAGACTGATGAATCACAGACCTCTACCTCTGAAACCAACAATACATTATATGTTAATTAATTGAATTTAAGGAAAAAAAAGAAAAAACTTTTTTAGAAGGAAAATGATAGTGAAAATGAGTGAATTTTAGCTACACACAACATTGTAGATAAGTACCAGGAAAATAATGTCGGATGAAAAAAAATCACAGAAGAATGCATACAATATGATTATATTAATATAAAATTCAAAAACCTTCAAATTTAAACACTATGTTGTTTAGAGTCACAAATATGGTAAAACTAAAGAAAAGCAAGGGAATGATGGCAAAATTCTGGAGAGGTGATTAAGGGGCAGGAAGGGAAGGGTTGGTATCTCTTAGGTACACATAGGATTTTTTTTTAAAGATTTTATTTATTTATTTGAGAGAGAGCAGGGGGAGCAGCAGGGCAGAGGGAGAAGCAGGCTCCCCGCTGAGGAGGGAGTCCGATGTGGCACTCAATCCCAGGACCCCAAGATCATGACCTGAGCCGAAGGCAGACGCTTAACCGACTGAACCACCCAGGCACCCCCAGATACACATATGATTTTATTTTTTTAATTTATTTTTTTAAATTTTATTATGTTATGTTAGTCACCATACAATACACCATTAGTTTTTGATGTAGTGATCCACGATCCATTGTTTTACACATATGATTTTAAAGGCATATTATAATATTCTTAAACTGGGCAGTGGGCACATGGATTTTATTATATCATGATTCTTTATCCCTTACATATACCTTATAAATCTTATTTTATATCAGTTCAACATTTAACTTAAAAACACTAAATCAGGGGCACCTGGGTGGCTCAGTTGGTTAAGCAACTGCCTTCGGGTCAGGTCATGATCCCAGGGTCCTGGGATCGAGCCCCGCATTGGGCTCCCTGCTCAGCAGGAAGCCTGCTTCTCCCTCTCCCTCTGCCTGCCGCTCCTCCTGCTTCTGCGCTCTCTCTGTCAAATAAATAAATAAATCTTTAAAAAAAAAAAAAACACTAAATCAGATTTGTATGTGTGCATCTTTATTGATATACAATAAAACCTGAACATTTAGAGGTAACAATCTGGGACCAAAAGAAATTCATTGACTTAATCAAGGTCCAAGCCAAGTATTAACAGAGCTGATACTCCACATGACACTGAACTCCCTCTCCAAGTGCTGGCCTTTCTTTTTCTCTAGGCTAACAGGAATGATACAAATACACATCACATCCAAGGACCAAACACTATCTAGTATCTCCACTAACAGGCAAAAGCAATGGATGACTCTCACCAGCCACAGTTTTCTGGACCCTTAGATCTATACTGCTGTTTGCTAGAAGGGAACACTGAACTTCTAAACAAAATGCTGAAAATGATAATTTAAATAAAGAATAACTGTAGATTAAAAAGTACTGAGAAAGTAAAAATAGCTTTACTGGGTTGAATATGTAATAGACTGATGTCAAAGGAGTAAGATTATGAATCCTCATAGTTCATGTGCTTTGGGATCCTCTGCATCTGTGCTTTTCAAACTTTAATGTACATACAAAACAAATGGGGATCTTGTGAAATGCAGATTCTGATTCAAAAGGCTTTGTGTGGTCCAAGATTCTGCATTTCTTTTTTTTCCTTCAAATTTTATTTAAATTCTAGTTAGTTAACATATAGTGTAATCCTGGTTTCAGGAGTAGAATTTAGTGATTCATCGCTAACACCCACTGCTCATCACAACAAGATTCTGCATTTCTGACAAGATCCCAAGTAACATCAACACTGATGCTCTAAAGGCCACAGTTTGAACTACTAAGCTTTACGATGTAGAGTTATATCATGGCTACCTCTGAACAAATCAGGATTACTTGTGCTTTTCTTCCAGGGGAGACAGCTGACCATAAATGCCATGGTTTTAAGAGTTCTGTTTGTTAAATTTAGTGGCACTGTGCCATAATGTTCACTCACCTAAATTTCTAGGTGAGTACAGTACTGAGTGCATTTAGGACTAATTCGTGTTTTCAAGAGGATGGAGGAGCAGTCAAAAGGCAGTGGGGTAGACAGAGGGGAGAGAAATATGAAAAAGGTGGGGAAGGCACATACTAAGAGGCAATGGAGAATACAGCAAGCAAGACAAAGTAACCATCCATCTATAAGCAAATTGCTTGTCCAACAATCTTAAGAAAGCAGCTTCTCTG